TTTGACGCGATGCGTTTTTTTTTTTTTGTGAAACAAAATAGTTTGCAAAAATTCACTGTTAGTCAGATGACATTGCTCTCTCTCTCTCTCTCTCTCTCTCATTTGCTTGCTCTCTATCTCTCTCTCTCTCTCTCTCGTGTCTTCTTTTCTTTCTTGGCGGTTGTGTAAACTAAGTATTTTCCGTCGAATATATTAACATCCTAAATATTGTTTTGTTTTTTTCTCGAAATATTTGCAATGGATCAAAATATCGACGTAAAATAACATGGCAACGTTCTCGGCGGAATAGTAATCGTAACTGTTTACAGAGTAGCTTCGTTTTGGATCACTGACATGTACGGAATCAAGAACTTATGCAAAACAAACTTAGCGCAAGAAGAAACACGTTTCCTCCGGGCGACGTTATACGTGACGACCGTTTACATCATGCAGTGGCACCGTAGTACCGATTCGTTGTATGAACGTTTAGAGTAAATCCGAATCAGAGCGATATCATAACTGGTGTCACAAATAGCGCCGTTCCCAGGCAGCTTGCGCAGGCCTTCCGCAAACATCACCTAAAAAAAAATCGCAACCATGTTAAAAAGGGGATTCAACACACAGAGTTGGCAAAGCGCCTCGGACTGACTCCGTTCAAGACAAAATAGCCTGCTGCAACGTAACTGCTGCGGTGAATAAATGATCTTTCCCATCGATCTTCAAAGGAGAAACAAAAATCCAAGAGCGCTGATGGACGCTCTTCTTTTTCCGTGACGCTAGAAAAACAGTGCATTTGTTTTCGTATACAGATTGGCGTCGTGATGCTATTTCTCTCTGGAAGAGAAAGAGAGAGAGAGCATAAATGGTGATTTTGGAGAGATTGGCATCCTCTCTGGGATTACGGGTTTTTATGTTGCAACGAACTATAGGATAAGAGCGGCACAGCGTATCTTTCACAAAGTTCGGCCTCCAGCACGCGGTTTTGCCTTCCGTCGCACTTTGGCAGCGCGTGTCCACTCAAGGCTCACTAGACGCCGAAGCGTTTTACAGTGCAATACAAAACAATACATTTTATGACCGTTTTTTTTTACATTTTGCAACTTAAATTTTACAATGAGCCAGGGAGGCTTGTGCGTGACACGTGGCAGTTGCGGTGCAGGAAAAAAAAAAATCTAACGAGAACACGTTTTGGATGCTCTCTACAAAATAAACAAAAATAACGAAAAACAACTTTTCTTCAGTAATATTTTGAACTGCCGTGTGCATGGCCGAGAAGGAAAGCTTCTCCGTACGGGAATAAGATTCGAGTTCACTCTTATCCCGAGCGTCAAAGACAAGTACGCCAACAGGACCTTGCCGAGTCAGTCTCGCCCTAGCTCACTCTCGAACATTCTAGGTCGAATATTTGAGATACCGAGGGTAGTAGATAAGGAGCCGAAGGTGGGCTTGCCGACTCATTCACTTTCGCAGTCTCGCTCCAGCCAGCTGCCACGCCGACGCCGCGACATTCGCTTCTGCTGTTTCGAGTTCGACGCTCACTCTCTCTTTTCAATTTTAAGCTAGTCGATCCGCTTGCATCCGCGACCAAAGCACGGAAAACAGTGATACCGAAGGTATTAAGGCCTGTTCACACATGCAGCGACGCGCCACAAGCATAGCGCTGACCTCGCGCTATGCGCGTGCTGACGGGAGCGTTCACCAGCTTCGTATCGCACCGCCAAAACTGTTGCTCATGGCAGACGATAAGTATATAGCTGACGACACGTAGGCAGCGCTACATCAGCGCTTCGCTGTATGCGAGAACCGGCCTTTAAGCTCGCGCTGGAGGCGAGACAACTGAAAAAGCTCACTGTCGCTCTATACACTGTTCACAACTCAGAGTACTGGCGACTGCGGGATCCCAACCGTGGCGGTCATGTTGACGCCCATTCTCGATGATCGGATTCGGCAACGGAGAACTCGGCTCGTACTTATAGTCCGCACGCCGCGGAGTGGACAAAGGATCTACTTCTTCTTGCCGTAGTCCAATTATGGCCGCCCTCAAAAACCGGGAGAAGTGCCCCCGTTCACCCTCTCGGTAGCGAACGGCTTCCATTGTGGTCGGCTGCAGACTGCAGCTCTTCCGACTTGAGCTGCTCCTCAAAACCCTCCTCAAGCCGAGCCGTGCGTGCTCTCTGCGCCTGCCTTGCGAGGCTGGCTTGTCTGTCTGTTGGTTCTCAAGAAGAAGACGACGAAGAAGAAGGGGAGACGGCCCGTGAAAAGAGGCCCCTGCGTGTCTGGTTTTTGACGAAAACGGCGGCGGTGAGCCTGATTCGCGCCTCGTTGGTCCGATGATGGCGGTTCGCCGAGCCTGGCTGAGCGGCCATTTCACGGGTTCGCGTGTTACCAAAAAAACGTACTTTTTTTTGTGGTTTTAAATCTTTAGGTGCACGCGCCTCATCGAGTGGTCCTCAGCAGAGCCACTAAATAGGCTACGCTTCAGAGTATCAATACTTCGGCCATCTTAGTGCTTAAAATCATGGTTGCCAGTCATCCGAAGCTTTATCTGAAATCGCAGGGGACGGTTTTCTGTCCTCCAGAAATGTTAAGACAGTTCGCGACAGAGCAAAACGATATCATCCGAGCTTCCTAACAGCGTATCTCAAGCTGAGGAAGTCGCGTCTTTGAATTGTGGCGACCGACAGTTGTGGCTGCACGACACCATTTACGAGCGAAGAAGACGGCGAGGAGGAACATTTTGAACAATGAAACGCGTTGCTTTTATAGACAATTGCAAGCATGGCGCCACAAGTGGTGCCCCATGCGAGCAAGCGCGTGCAACGCGCGGGTGAACGTAGCTTTGGCAAGCTCGTAATCGCACGGGCGTGCCTGCTCGAGCAGAGACATGGCGGCGGCCAGTCGCCCAGCTTGCAATCGTGTATATGTGCAAGGGCTTTGGCAGAACAACGTTCAGACGAGGAGAGCGTCAGTAATGTCACGTGGACAGAAGGCGGATAGCTGCTATATTGCTCCATTGTGCACTTTGCGAAAATACGTGCAACTCAGGCTAATCGTGTTTTTTCTAGCTTTTTTTTTTTTAATGACGGTAGACTTTTTGTGCGCCTTTGAAGGTATATGGTGTTCGCTTTGTTCAACATTAGGGTTTTAATGAGAAACAGCACTGCAGATGTGGACGAAAGTCTGAATGATAGAAAAATAGACGCATCAGGCTGCCTAATTTTGCGATCTTCGACAGACTAACCGACCTTTTGCGACTGGTGAACCAGCTGATATTAGTGGCGGTTGCCTCGTCTTCGTCAAGTGTATGTGGTAACGGACGAAATCCACCGAATTCTACATGAACAACTTTTTTTTTGTTTTTTGTTTTTTTGTTTTGCAGATACGCATATTTTAGACCAATACAATGAATCAAAGAGTTGCATACTCAACAACGCATAATTATAACTATCTCGTGAACAAGCCCAAAGCCCCGCCGCAATGAATTTGCCAGAGTGCCCCCAAAACCGAGTGATATGTTGCCGACGCAGTATTAACTGCCTCAAGTCGGTTGCCGGTGACAAACCAATGAACTCGCTGTTCAACTAGCCGAACTGCGTACCGACAAAAAACACGGCTGCAGTCTATTATAAATCAAAATTAACCGCAGAGCATGTTAATAAAGGTTACTTTAAAAAAAAACTCGTGACAGCTATGGGACGATGAACATATCTTTCAACTTTTACGAAATATATATTCGTCATCCAATTGTCCCCGAGTTTGTATTATTTTTTCTCTGTCAAGTCCAGTGTACCGCAAAGAGTTTCCATCGTGCAGAAAGTTATCCGTAACGCCGAGTAGACACTTGCGTGCTCAGCATTCACGCATCCCGTCTTTCTTCTTCCTTTTTTTTCTGTATTTTGGCTAGCTGTTGATCGCTGAAACGCTTTTGCGCATGAAATTGTACAGTTCGGCGCATGGTTTTCTTTCCGCGTGCAGGTGTGTAGGCGAGCGTTGGCGCTTCCCTCCAATAAATACCAAAATAAATGTTGCTGGTGCTTTTTTTTTTTTTTTTCGTAAAGTGGGCCGTTGTGGTTGCTGACCTCCCTCTGGTTCAGAAATCCCAATTTTCTTCTTTCAAGCTGTTATAAATAAGAAGTGTGAAGCGGCGAGTCGAGGCGTAAACGGCGTTGTGAAACTATGTAACTCAAACGTTTTTTTACCAGACACATCTCCTCTGTCTAGATTACATCACGTGATGGCAATTTCCCATTAGCTTTACACACACTGGTTTTGTTTTGGTCGCCAACAAAGTAAAGAAGCTGGTTTTACTTTGTCCGCCGACAAAACAAAACCAGTTTTTTTTTTTTTTTTTTTTTTTACAGTTTAGTTTTTTTACATGGCATCGAGTTGTTCATGAATGTACGCTTTTATGGCGAGCTGGTGAGGCTAAAGCATAAGAAAAGGTTTGCAGAAAGAGATGTATACTCCATACGCCTGCTTGTAGTCTCTGAAACTTAGTATCTCTGAAGCCTTAGAATCGCGGTAGCGACGTTTCGCTAAGTATTAGCTTCTTCGTAATCCCAAAAATGTTTTATTTTTTTCCTCGAAACGTAGGGTGCTTTTTTGAAGATTCCATGAAACTTCTTTTCAAGTCCATCCTACCAGCTTCAATCATTCTTGTACCGGGTGCAGTGTTCGTTATTTGTAACCTGTAGCGTGACTAAATCCTGCCAGCGCTCTACTAATCGGATGATACGAAACTGCGCACTATATCGCGCAGCATACACCGCGCTCAATCGGCACCTCTGAGATCACAACGCCTTAGTGATCAATCTTCTTCGTCACCACTCGGAGGCCAGCCAGCTGAACACGGGCTGCTGACGTATAAGTCCAGCGCCACGGCCTTGTGATCCAGGAGGCTCATTACGAACGAACCGGGGACGGAAGAGAGAGAAAGTGTCGGCGTGGCTTTCTCTGGTCGCGGCCATTGTTGCGTAGCGTCATCGATGCATGCTGCCATTGAGGCCACGCTTGACTTGCAGGTCGGCGACCAGATTATCCGCATCAATGGCTATCCCATCGACCACTTCATCCACGAGGAGGTCCTGGCACTGCTCAAGGCGAGGCCCACCATCCTGCTCAAGGTTAAAAGTGAGTCTTTGACCTCGGATCCCATGAATCGTGGATCACCTCTCGTGTACTCCGCTGACCAAATTAATTTTATTCGCACGAAACACCAGTGTGACTGGGCACACCGAAACGCATTAGAGTTGGAACTCAGGGCAGTGAGGATACGGGCTTACCTCGCTAGTTCCCTCGAAATACTTTATTAAGTTTTGGTGCCAAGTGAGGCAACTGTCCTCAAAGATGACGGAACGCCTGTGGCTTATTGATATTTTCTCATGAAGCATCAGCGGTATGAGATAAACGAAGTATATCCTGGGGGCCACAGGCACATTTGAGTCTTGCAGCTTGAGACGAAGTTCTGAGATGGCGTCAAAGCTAAATAAGATTAAATGCAGGTGATTCAAGTATATTAATGTTCTACTCGCGTGCAGATTTCTATACATGCATCCAGTATATTTGGCGACGTAGATGATAAGACAGCAAAACAGCTGGAGAATAAAGTTCAACGGGGCGAGGACGGCGTTCCGTAGCACATCATCTGCTGAGTGAATTGGTCCCTATAGCGGCCGGTATCTACAGGTTGTTTCTTTTCCTGATGCCTTTTCCTTCTCCCATTAATTTCCTTTCCTGCATTTATGTTTCTGTTTCCTTCTTTCGCAGGCGTCGGAATGATCCCTATTAAAGAGTAAGTACACGTTTCCTTCAAGGCTGGGTTCTCCAGAGATAGCGAGGCAACCGCAGCGGAATTAGGAAATCAAAGTGACGCTTAACGCTTTCGGAAACTTACGTTTATGGGGTCTCCTCTATTATCCTTAAGACTTAATAACATTCATGAAAACTTATGTCAAGCAAGTGGGAGAACGCAATTAGCGCAACATTCGTGCTGGAAACAAGCATCCGGCCCCGTTTAAACATCCCTGTCCCTGAATCCTCCGCAGCAATAAACGGGATCCTATCACTTGGAAAATGGTGGAGCCTGATCCTTGCAGCAGCGGTTCCGACGGAACGGTATGTTTTTTGTCTTTTTTTTTTTTTTTTAATCTGCAACTCGCCTGTCGCTTCCCACCTTTTATCTCTGGTCGGCCTTTCGCCGCGTTTAATCTTCGCGGATTCCCGGTTTTATAGATGTGCTGAACTTTCAGTTGCTTGTGAGCTCTTCGCTCCATCTATAGTCCATGGCAGATTAAGATGCCAGTAGGTGCTCCGTCTCCATCATGCGCGCGTTGGTTTCCGTCGAACTTTGGCTGAGTATGAGGAAGTGTTAACAAAGGCGAAAAGCTCGCACTTGGAACAGAGCATCTAGTGGCTTCTGAACGTTTCACCGGCAATGCATATGAAATCATTTATGTGCCTTAAAGGTGCCCTGAGGAGGTTTCTGAGATCGCGGCGATAACTCGCTCTGCTGGCTCTAAGCACCGTAGAAAGCTTTAAATCATGACGATACGCGGCCGGTATCCCTATTAAAAAAAGCAGTCAAAGATCGCAACACACAGGTCATCTCCGGCAATGGGAAAATCATGTTCCGAAGCCAGGACCACTGTCAGTCAATAGCAAAAGCGAAGACTCCTCGTGCCTCCGACCGCTGGAACCGCGGAGTGATATCTCGAATCCGCGCGGCTCGTTGCCCATACAGCCCGGACTATACGACTCAACCCAGCGAACGCACACTTGAAAGCTGACAACCAGACACATCACTTCCGCAGAGAGTCGAAATATTAATATATTTCGACTCCTCTTGTTTGCTTTTATCCTCCACAAAAGCAGACACATTTTGTAATGACAGCGTTTGCAATCTCAACGAAATGTCGCGTTTTCATTGGTCACGGGGTCCCACGGCTGCCGGAACAATGCTCCCAATCGCCAATGATGACCTCGGTGTGCTCCATCCTTGATTGCTTTTGCCATAGGAAAATCGGCCGCGCATCGCTATGATTTCTGGATTTCTAGGATGCTTAAAGCACGCAGAGTGAGTTATCGTCATATTTAGGCGATCTCAAAAACCTTCTCAGAGCACCTTTAAGACTCTTAACCGTGTTCCGCTTCTGTGCAACCTTTCAATATACTTACCATATACACATACAGTGATGCATCGTCAATATAAACACCTTTGTTTCTCAAAAAAAAAAAATCTTCTATAATGCGAGTCGTTTATAACAGTGGTTCTCAACCACTGATGTTTCGCGGACCCCTTGTGGATAGGCGGAGATGATAGAGGACCCCGTTCGCGGTGAGGGGAAGGAAAAGTAATTGGTTAAATATGATAATGATTTAATAAATGGATATATAACTAAGGGCTAGTGTTAAGTAGGCTTTTTTTTTTTTTTTTTTAACTGCAACATACACGTGAAAACTCATTCAAGAATTGGAATGTTTATTCTCAATCTCAAAAAAGACAACTTTTATTGCCGGGAGGCAGGGCTTCGCGGACCCCTAAGATGACTTCGCGGACCCCAAAAGGTCCGCGGGCCCCCATTTGAGAACCACTGGTTTATAAGAACGGGACAAAAATGCACGCATTTTCCCAGTTCGTCCACGAAAACGGTGTCCCTATGGCGGCGCACTCATATTAACGGGGTCCCTCTATTGGGCCCTGTGTATATTATTTGCCGCATGGACAGCATTAGATACTAGGCTATGCACCTCATAGCGGCAATTTCACTTAAAAATGCCAGCTGGTCTGACAAGTTCGAAGCATTTGGGTACTCACACGAATAATATACAACCTCCTTCGAGATGTGTTTTTGCTCGAAATAAATATAACAGCTGTGCTCGTTCTCAGATCACGAAAAAAATTAAGTTTTGCGCATTTTTCAGGCGCTGCGCGAAGTATAGGTTTCGCGATATTTTTGGTTCTAAAAGTAAAAAAAAGATTTTTTCTTTTTGTGTGTGTGTGTGTGTGTGTTTGCAACGTACGTCGCGGTAAAATATGCATGTAGTTACTCTGAAATAGACTGATGTAGTACGTATATCTTAATTGACCACATCAAAAGAAAAGGGGGGGGGGGGGGGGGGGGGAGGTAGTAATGCTGCGCGAAGAGCCGCACTTTTTTGTTTCACCGCAGTTTCTAATGTGAATACGAGTACAGTAATGTGTTTTTGCAAATCAGTGTTCAGTCGAATAACGCTCGTCCTAACAGCATTCTTTTTTTCTTATTTTTTTAAGCACTCTGTTAGCAGCGGTTCCAGCCTCGACGAGCCTATCGAGACCAAAGTCTTCATTTCGGGGATCGGTGGCTCGAGTCTTGGCTGCAGGTGAGAACTACTTACACAAACGTAACATACAACCTAAAAAAAACAGAAAAAAAACAGCGCAGTTTCTAAAGTTGCAGTCGCGCCGCTAATACATCGTACAAAAGGCAGCCTGTAGACACTGTCCGAAGCGTGTTTCCCGCTTGTATGACGGTTCTGTCACATTGGCCAAACAAAATCTATCTCCAGACATGTTCGAAGCATATACATATAATATGTATATCATATATCTATAATGTGTATGAAGCCAGCATGCTTCGAATATGCTTCAGGCGTCTCCGCAGATAATTCTGTTGTGTCTGCGGAGAAACTCCGCGCCTTTCGTATGATGTAGGATCACTGGGACTGCGGCTTCAGATTCTGTGTGCTGTCTTTGGCCGTTCTTTTTCTTTGTTTGTGTGTGTGCGTTTTTTACAGATAAACGACCAAAGACAGTACACAAACCTTGGGATCGCCTTTAAATGCGATCCCAAGGTTGCCTTTAGCTTCTCGATGGATTCTCTCGGAAGGATCGCGCTCACCCGCTCGTAAGACTAAAGTGACGATATACGCACGCTTTTGAGGAAGGGTAGCGCGAAGGTGATCGTGTCGAGTGACTTGAGCACCCTGTCGTCAGTTGCTCGCTTTTTCACCGGGTTTCTAGCCATCGTTGCTTTCTGAAACGTAATCGTGTCCAGCGAGTCGCGTGCCTCGTCATCGAGTTCCTCGCAAGCGTTACGTTCGGGCGCGAGTCATAATGTTTACCTATAGCCTAACTCTTGAGAAGAGGCGTTGCGATATATTCATCCGTCGAGTGACTCGAAGCACCCTAGCGTCAGTCGCTCGCTTTTCCCCCCGGTTTCCAGCCATAATTGTTTCTGAAAACGTGAGCGTGTCTGGTGACTCGAGCGCCTTGTCGTCGAGTTCCTTGCATGCATTAGCCTTGGTTGCCAACCATAATGTTTATCTAGCTACGATAGACCTGTACCTGTTGCCTTATTGCACTTCGTGCCTCTTGTCCGCTTCACGGTATACGATGGACCACAGCAGACGCTGCGACTCATCGGAGCCAATTGGAACCAGTCCAATGCCGCGCGAGTGTCACATGACCTTCAGAGGAGACGCAGTGAAGCGCGGGACGCCTGGTCACGTGGTACATTTCAAGGTGCTGGATTGGCTAGAACGGCTCGCGTACAGTCCGCTGCGCTCCACCGTATAAGCTGAAACGAAGTATAGCATTTCGAGTATTGCCCACGGACGCTGCGTCGTCCTAACGACTGTGAGCCTCCGGGCAGAGAGACCAACGTGGAGACGGGTCTAACGCCTCTCCTTGCGAGCCTGGTCACGATCGGCCTTAATCACTGCACGTGTTTGAACGGCGCCAACGGTTATCGCAATGCTCGCGTGTTTTATCCCCGGCGGCTCTGTAGCGTCGTCAAGGGACCCCCGGAACTGCCAGGCATCTTCGTGCAGACGGTGAAGCTTCACGGCCTCGCCGAAATCGCGGGACTCGAGATCGGTGATCAGATCACGGAAGTGAACGGTCAGGGATTCCTCAACGTCGAGTTTTCCGAGGTGAGTTCTCTCTTTAAGCGCAACTTATCGAAGCTTTTTTTTTTTTTTTTTTTTTAAAGGAGAGTATGGTTTTGGTTAACGTTTAAAGTCTTACTTGTTTGGTATGTAGTTGTCGATTATTTGAGAAACATATGTTTCCTCACCTTTACGCTAACATTTGCTTCGAGCATTTATTTCTGCTACGACATTTAGTTTTCTTCTTTTTTTTTCTCTCTCTCTCTCTTTATCGTTTTCTTTCTTTCTCGTGTTAAGTAGTAGCCGTTTTCTTCTCTAAATCTTACATAAGCAATATCTCCCTCCAATTATGTTATGGTGTGCAAGCTGAGCGCCAAAAACAAATGTCCCCAATAAAGTAGAGAGAAAGGATGTCGAGGCCCCAGAAAAGACCAGTCCTTGCTCCCGAACAAAAAAGGTAGCGGAGAAGATAAACAAAACCACAGTGTTGTTTCTTTAGTTCCATACGTTGTAGAGATTAATGAGGTCAGTATAATTTGTAGTATAAACTAGAATCGAATGTCGTGATTGACAAGACGAACGTAAGAGTTAAGGCCCGTTCACACTCTTGCAACCGAGTGCGACCGAGAGAGACCAAACCGGTTTTTAAGCCTCTTGCGATCTCTTAGGACCAGCTCCGCTCAGTGCATCCGGTCCCAAGAAGTCTTTCTCGGTCGTACTCGGTTGCAAGAGTGTGAACGCGCCTTTAGACAAAAACAGCTGAGAGCGGAAGAGAAAAGAATAGGAAACTTGCGCCTTGCCGAAAAAAACATCGGAAGCATGGGTCGTTAACTGAAAGCTTACATTGATTATAGTACCGTAGTCACAAAGGACACCGGCTTTTGGCTCATTTTTGTAAGACCTATAGTCAGTGACAGGCTAAGAATTTAATAGAAACTCCGCCCCCCAGAACGTGCTCGTTGCCTACCGCTGGGCTTCGGTGGGCGTGCGCGAAGAAGTGCTATCAAAGGCAGAAAGCTCACGCTGGAGGAGGTGTATCTACTAAATTATTATACTGTCACCGACTATAGTTCGATTTGTAGAGTGCAGCTCGTGCTGAGGATGTGGCGGTTTGGTTTGTGTCAGGCCATCGCGATGCTCAAGTCCTGCAAGGAGATGGCCCTGACGGTGAGGAAAGGCGCCGGCCTCGAACTCTTTCCCGAGGAGAGGCTCCGGAGGCGCAACGTCCGACTCTGCAACGGCCACGCCAAGGGCCGCAACGGGAACGGCCATTTGCTCAACGGGAACCACACCATGCACAACAGGTGCGCAAACTTCCAACGGGCGGCACGTCCAGGCGACATCCCACGAGCGCGAGTCGCTAGCTTTAGTATATGGCACCTGGGACGCGACCTTCGACCGGTGTGTTTACCGTACCTTGCCGATGCATCGAAAATGCTCCCGTAGTGGGAACAGGTGACGTGCCATGCTGTCGGACGTCGCGACCCTGGCGGTCAGTCGTATTAGTTCCGGCAAAAAGTGCGAGTGAACAGTCGCGTTCACTCGTACTTTTTGCCGGAACTGTCGCTGTTGTCGCGGCGTCCCAACTCCCGGCACCAGAAGTTTCCGTGAACTGTCGCACTGCAGAGCGACCTGCGGCAGACTCGCAGAGCAGGCGGCTGTCACTGCCAGGATCGCGGAAGGCAACAACGTGGACTCCTATGACGTCATCAGGCGGAAATCGAGGGACCATTTTTGAGGACGTGGTAAACACATTGGTCGGTGACGCGTTCCAGGCACCATAGTTGTAAAGCACGAAACTCAGGACGGAAGTTTTAAGGGCGATTCACACACTTGTGTTGAGTCCGACCGAGTGCTTTGCTGTATGTTGTGTGACGCGAGCTCCGGTGCAACTGGTTAGGAAAAGCTTAGAGCTTACCACTGAAGATGATTTAAATGGCGTATTCTCGTCTCACCTCGCATTGACGTCACGGCAGACGTAGAAGGAATCATATGTGTACGATGTATATGGTCATCACCTGGAGCAATAAGTTCGGTGATGTCGAGTTGGAGTATGCACCTATCCATCCAACCCTCAATACTTTTAGACGCCCCTCCCCCACCCCATAAATGATAAAGGCAGCTGAGAACAGACGTTTTGCCATGACATCAAATGGCGCCGCGGCCAGTCGACGGGTCTGACCCTTCAAGACGCCCGTAGGCATCTGCAAGACCGGATTGCCTACGGGCGTTACACGAGCCGCCATACAACGATGCATGCCTGTTATAAAGTTCACTTGCGTAGGAGTGGGTTTCGGCGACAGCTGGCTCGTTCGTCAACACTACGAAAGGCTCGAATCTAGGTCACGGCCGCTAATCAAGGCTCCGGCGCTGCCGGGTAAACTTCGTCTCTGCCGTTCGAGACCGCTGTTGGGTGTTTCGTACATATTGACAGACAAGTTTGATTGATATATGGGAGCAGCCATCTGACATCCGTCGAGAAATTTCGCCACAGTCGCAACGGCGCCGGTATATTAATTTTTAAAGCTGCGAAGTTGAACTTCTGAAGCAAAAAAACAAGTTGCAGCCAAACGCGCGAGACGTTCAGGCCTGAGAGAAGCACGAAAGGCCGACCGTCATGATAGTGTTCAGAAGCTTGTTATACAGATAACAGCGAGAAAAACCGTCGTGGGCTAAGATGTGGGTTACCCGCGTTTCAGGACCCTCTACACGAACGGAAACAACGGCAAGGCGTCCCCAGAGTCATTCCACTCTTTGCACGACACCATCACGAACGGCTCTCTCTCCGAGATGTCGGACCGCAGCACTTCACTGTCCAGCTCCCAGTCCACTAGTCCCGTGACCAATGGTTACACCACCCATCCGAACGGAAACGGCTGCCAGAAGCACAGGTAGGCACAGTGGGCTGCACGCATTTTATGCGATGTGTTTCACGAAAGCTTGTATGACACTAGGCCTCTTAAAAAAAAGATCGGACCGCGACTTCGTGCTCCGTATTCGAATCAGCGAAATACTTTGTGATAAAGCACGGTTCAAGACAAAAAGGAAAATTAAGATGCCAATGCGTTCAATTTGATCATATGTAATCAGATCGAGACCCTATCTCACTAGTTGTGCGCAGGGTTATCAAACGTACAGAAGTGCGCACCGAAAGCAGTCGGAGAGGGGAAGTAAAAACTTCCCCTCTTACCCGGACTCTCCTGCATATCCCAAACGTCATTCTTGTGCCCTTCGGAGGTAAGAAAGTTTTAGCAGATCGCTCCGATAGCTCTGATAACGATACGATGCATGCCCAAAGGCGCCGGCAAAGTATCAGGTATCGTTATCGGAGCTATTGGAAAGATCCAAAAATATGAAACTCCCTGTTAGCTTTTTCACTCAAACTTGGTACAAAAGGGGATTTTTTCTCTCTCCCTTCCATGGCTTCCACAACTTCCGAGATAAACTAACGTACAAAAATCTTACATGCATGCCACTGCACAGTTGTGCTAAGGATGGAGGGTTATTATAGATTGTTTTTCCACGACTTTAACGCAAAATGTCACGCAGATAAAAAACTTAGTTTGAAATCTTTCATCATAGCTATTGGAATATATTAACCACCCACAGGGTGTTTACAGTTTACCACAAAACTACATTAGAAGGTGACGGCCTTCTCTGCTTCATACACAACTATTTCAAGTGTGTGCCTAGCCTTGAGGTCATGGCAGCTATCTATTTCGAGACACGCACAAATACCTGGTGGGACTGTGAGTAGAGTTGTGGGTAGACGTCCAGGGGGACGCTCATTCCCGTGGCTGTTCTCGAAAGAGGGCTCTTGAGCGGAGCCCACACTTACTGCGGGTGCGCGCCTGCTCTAGGTCCACGGAAAACGGCGGATCGCACTACGGCAGCAGCAACAGCCACGTCTTACTTCACCCCAAGCTGAGCCTCGCCGGCTCCGAAGAACGACAGCGGCTTGAAGAAGAGAAGCGGCGCCTGTACGAGAAAGAACAGCTGCTCAAGATGGAGGCCGAGAAACTCGCCGAAGAGCGGCGCAAGTTGGAAGTTCAGAAGTCCCTCCAGGAGCACCACCAGCAGATTCCCTGCCTGCCCATCGTGGCGCCTCCCTGCAACATCCCCGCACCCCCACAGATGCACGTCTTCGCCGAGCTGCACAGCGTGGCGCAGCAGAGGCGGATGTCACGCGAGAAGGGTCTCCAGAACGGCACCGAAGGTTCCAGGAAGGCTGCCAGGACCGGTACGTCGTCGCAATGGACCTTTTTCAGTTTTCTTTTGTAGTGCAGAAACTTGGCAAACTTTAAGGGAAACTGAAGCGGTTCTGTATTTAAGGAAATACACTTGAATCGTCTTCATCTGGCCTCCAGGATCAAGAACATCGAGATTATTTTTTTTCAATTTCGTGCCCGGAAGCTGCAGAAAATCACTTTCAAAGTACCACTGAAGCCCCTCCTTCCCGGAGCTTGACGTCATATCGGGATATTTCGGAATCTCCGGCGCATCTTCAGCGCCTATCAAAGCTATGCACGCGCTCTCTTGTTATTTTCTAAAAGGTCAGAAAACGACGTCACGACTGGTGTCAGTGTGGGGGAATATAACTGGAAAGCTTGCAACTGCACGCGCTGCCCACAAGAGCGACACGCGCTTGGCGGCCGAAAGATCTGGGCATGATGTGCCGACTGGTCGGCACATCATGCCCAGTTTTTCGTGTTTTCTCGCGTTTAGTTACATCTTGGGGGGAAAACTAAAGTGGTATTTAGATTCACGACATGAAAATTAATTCTCTAAAATTCACCTTTAAAGGGATACTGAACCAAAGAATTTAGTGCCCATAATAAGTGGCGCACGTTCTTTCCACCAGCCAGCAGCCGCCGGTGTGCGCGAGCGCACGCAACAAAAATGACGTCACAGACCTCCATTCGCGGTTGAGATGACAGTGAAATGCATGGGCTTCGGACTAAAGGAGAATAAAGACAGGCTTTTCATCTCTACAAGTGAAAGCTACGTGCTTGTTAGACCAATTCATCGCTTACTTTTTACACCAGGCACCACTGTGTAGATGAAAAACTTGTCTTTATTCTCCTTTGGTCCGAAGCCCATACATTTCACTGTCATCTCAACCACGAATGGAGGTCTGTGACGTCATTTTTGTTGCGTGTGCTCGCGCACACCGGCGGCTGCTGGCTCGTGGAAAGAACGTGCGCCACTTATTATGGACACCAAATTCCTTGGTTCAGTATCCCTTTAACTCGTTTTTTTTTTTTCTTTTCAAAAACTTCTTTAGTTTCCCTTTAAGGAACTTCAGGGTATGGTTCAAAATACGAAAAAAAAAAAAAAAAAAAACACTCATATCCTATAGTTAAAACATACACGCAAAGCAATTACTTTTGCACTCACGCCGTTGTTTTGTAAGCAATGCGGTTCTAAGAGTTTGCAGTCGGCCTATATCTTGAGGTTGTTTTGAACAGGGGATCAAATATATGGTGTATGACCGATATCATATATGTTAGTATTAACTCAAGCTGCCAGCCGCCTGTTGAGAAGATGAAAGGAAAAGGAAGATACGCAAAGCTCATGTGCAGGCGCGGCCATCGATAGCGGATTTCTATTTTCGCTGGTGCTCAAAATTGTTCCGTTTTTTGTCACTCTCTTCGTTTCGCAAGGTTTAAGGCCAGATGCCAAGCCTTCGCCAGACGTCCTCATCAAGCAGAAACAGCACGGTACGTCTTTATCTGCGTCATTGGTTCTTTTTTTTCTGTTTTGTTGTCTTCCGCCGCTAAAACGTGTGTCACGCTGTCAAGACTCCTGGCACCGCTCGGGTGCGGCCTTTACGAAGTGGGATGCAGATGACAGTATTCGTGGTCCAGCAAACGGCGGTTTAGCAAACGGCGGTTCAACTCACGAAGCTTATGTGCGAGTGTTTAGTTTAGTGAATGATGTGTGTTGTCGAGTATGCTCGTTAAGCGTGATGTTTGAGCGCACAAGAGGGGGCGTTGGGGCCATCAGATGTCACGTCTCTGCCCGTGTGAACAAAAGTGTTCGATTACGCAGTTGTCAAAGTCACCTTCGCGCGAGCTCTCACTCTGCTCATTTCAAACGAATCCAACTTATAATTCTAGCGAGGTTATAAGTAAAGCGTATTGACAGCGAGCGCCTTCGCTGATGAGAAGGGCAACACGCAACTAGCGCGACAAATGTGAAAATAAGAGCCAAGAAACAACAACAACCTCCCTTGAAGTGCACGTCAGGAATATGGAGAGACCAGCTGGAAAACGTTTCGCGGATGCCTGACACCGCCGTAACTGTAGTTCGCAGGAGGCAGGCGGCAGTGCACGATCGACAGCTTGTGCCGTCTCGTGCTCCGCGCATGCAGACTTGCAGTGGGGTCGTCGCGCGTGGCGAAAGACTACAGATCCCACGATGCATGCCGGCAGGGGCGGCGTAACGAAGCCCTGGCTGGTGGTCTATTATACCAAATACTTTACTAGGGGGGATACATTCCACTCCTCTCAAATACAATAGCCTCGGCGCGGACAGGTTTTCTGGGCTTGGCGAGAGCCATCCATCGTCGAGGAGGTCTCGGCTATCGAGCGGTAAATGATGATGATGATGACGATGGTTGTTTTACATATCGAATGCATTGTTGTGGAAATGCTTGAGACACGTGCCGCGCGCCACTTTTAGCAAGAACATGTGGCGTCTAAAATCTAGCTCAGCGCTGCGCCAAATACTTTGCTGCGCTGTGCCATGCTGTGCCCTTATAATCTTCCCAAGGGTTGCACGTTGCACGTGTCTCGTGCATCGACGAACCTTGCGCTACCTTTGAAACATGAAAGGGCTTTAGGTGGAGTCGGAGACGACACCGCCGCAGCCGCCGCAAGCATCCACGTGCACATGCGCGTGGGCTGACGCGGACCTCCACACCGTCAGGGCTGGATTCGGCGCTGTAGGCGTTCTGTCGAATGCAAATGAGCGAAGTAGAATGTATTCCCCCTAGTAAAGTATTTGATTATACTCTGTTTCACCTTATGATGTACCGCAGTAAAGGCTACAAGCGCGAGCTCCTTGCTCTGGAACACATTTTGGCGGCACAATTGCTCTCGTGCGGCTGCCAACGCTATGAGCTCGCGCTTCTAGCCTTCGCTGCGGTACAACATAAGATGAAACGGAGTATAGTGTGAGCTGTGAACAAAGTAACACGGTGGAAAATCACTGCCGGCACGCGACTGCACCTATAATTGAATGATACACGCGCGCACTGTGGCTAAGAGTGGAACTAAGTTCTGTTTGAACTTCGCTTAGAACGCAAGGAACAGAGTCAAAGCTACGGAAGGCTCTGATCTTGCGTCTATGTGATGCAGAGGAAGAGACTTTAGTCTAAGAGCTTCGCCCCCAGCTTTCCCCGCAATCCATATAATATTATGAAACGAATCGCTGTTGCAACAGGAGATGATGCCACATGGTCAGTAATAAACAAAGACGGGAATCAAGGGCGAAGGGCAAACAAACGCTTCACATTGTTAACTGTAATACAAGAGGACGAATGCTGTGTGTCTCTTCACAGGGGTAGGAAGTGGCCGAGTGGGCTAACGCGCCTCAGCTCGGAGCGTGGAGCGAAAGCTTGCGCTGGGAACCTCCTGGGTTCGATCCCCGCCGCCCCCGCCCGTTTCGATCTGGATGAGTTTCGTACCGGCACGTGTGATCACTACTGCGTGATGCACGTTAAAAACCCCAGGTTAGCGGTTGTACCGCACTGGCCAAATTTCTCATCTACAGCTAAGAGACCGATTACCCGTTGAGGCGCATCTCCATCAAGGCTGTATAAACATAAAGAGCAAGCCAATTTTTTTGTCTCTTCACAGTTTTCGCGGTTTCCACCGCTTATCGTATCATTTGGCAAGGCCTTTCTCGCCAGCGAAACAAGCCAAATCCTTTGTAGATTGTTGGGAAGCACAGCTGAAGTACGCCACGTTTCCACGAAAGAGGAGTTTAGTGTTGCAAAGGGGCCGGAAGCTCCCGCGTCCTTCGTGTTTTGGGCACGCACACAGTTTGCGTTGTAAAGCGCGCGCTTCCGGTTCCTTCTTTATCTCTCCCATGCGGATGGTGCATCACGGCCAGTGGCTCTGCCTGCTGAATATTTGCGTTCGCCCTTCACTCCCTTCCGTTGTTTAAAAAAAAAGATGCCGGCTGTTCAAAGTGCGGTCGCCGGACAGCTGTCCACCGGAATCACAGGCGTTCCACCACGCGTTTGAAATATCCCCTGAACACTTCGAAATGGATGAAATATGATTCACGGTATCCGTAAATGATAATCACACGGAGAGCCCACGGTTATACCCTGTCCCGTTGTAACTAGGCTAAGGGTGAACGATAAGCCCCACATTGCGCGCCGACGGCTTCGATTGGAGCATGACGCGGCGAAAACCTTGATACTTCATCGCAGTAAAAGCACACTCCGGTGATACGTAGTCACGTTCCGATTGGCCCGGCAGGGCCGTAGCTTCCGTGTTCGGAAATCGTTTTTTGGTTTAAGGGGGGGGGGGGGGGGGGGGGGGGGGGAGTGCAACGATTTTAAGATTAACAGAATTTGCATCTCGTCATTTTTACGTTGTTTATCGTGTCCCTGAGGATAGACAAAACATCTTCATTAAAAAAGACGCGATTCCGCTGCATAATCGCTAAGCAAAGGTCGAGCTTTTCCCCCCACCTGTAGTCGCGAGTGGCAGCCGAGGGAACTACGGCGAGAAGCTTACGTGACCTCGCTCGGCTCTAAGCTGCAGCATAACGCCCGCTAATGTCAGCAGAGAGAGGGAGAGGAAGTGTCCTCCGAGAGAGCGCACGGGAACCTACGCGGCACCCCGAATTACTGAATTACGTCACTAGGAGGGGGACCAGGTGTGACCCTGAAGACAGAGTGAGTTGAAGGGTGCCAAAAATGCCAATATTTATCCCCCTTTTTTTTTTTTTTTTTTTTTACACAACTAGGACACGCAGGCGAAGTCGGTTTTCTGTTCTTCTTTATTTTAGAAGTGCCAGAGCGCAACTTCCACAAATGTTTGACCGAAGTCCGTAAATCGTTGGATCCCCCCCCCCCCCCCCCCCCCCCCGAAAAATTAATTTTAAAAAGGGGGACCTTTAAAAATTATTTTTCTTGCGTTTACGAATGAGACAGGTGTTTGTGAGCTGCTGTCATAAAGGAGACAACGTTACACAAGGAAATATGCGTTAAAATTTCGCCTCCGTACGCCTTTAAAAGAACACTGACAGGGTAGCTATGCTCGCCAAGGTTTTTATTTGTACATGACATATGAGAATCCAACTACCCAGAACAGAATTTGCAGCTCGAAATTCGTTTTCTTCCCGCCCGAAAACTGCCGATCGAGAAGTGGCCGGTTTCAGTCGCGCTCGCTCTCTTTTCCGTGGTCACGTGCCGTTTTCTATGGTTTAGGTAATCATAAGTCATCGAAGGCACACACTTATCACGAATAGGAACAAAATATTATACGTATTTTTGTGGCTTCTAAAAAAAAAACTAAAAATACCTTTATTAGAATAAAAAAAAAAAAAGTTCTAAAGTTACATGTTTTTGGCAAAACTCTCCGCCTCTAAATTTCTTCTTCCTCCTCAGTCCAGTTTCGGTTTCGAGCAGTTGCGTGATTTTACTTTGTTAATATTGATTGGCTAGACTTCTGACAGCACAATAAATCCCTTAACCAAAAAAAAAAAATAATAATAATATTTTGGGAGGGTGTTAGTGTTTCTTCAAAGGGAGAGTTGCGCGTTGGGGAGCTTTTCGGGGGCTCTTATCGGGCGTCATCCTACGATGGACAGCAGAGAAGGCCACGAGCCCTACAAGCCAATCTTATGCCGCGCAAGTGTCCCGTGACCTCCGATTGCATGGAGCGCCGTTTCCGCAAAAACGAAAGGCGATTCCTCGGCACTTTTGCAAACTTTTCTTTTAAAAATCCCATAAAAAGAAAAAAAAATTTTTTTTTTTTTTTTTTTTTTAACAGTTTGATGCGGACACGCGTGTCAAAAAATAAATTTTACGCCAAAAAAAAAAAAAAAAAAGTTTTAGAGCAATATTGACGGTGCGAGACGCGATTAGCCACCTCTGTTCCACTTGTTCTCTCTCTGGGCATTTCGGGAGCGTGAAGGAGAGGTGTAGCGGCTTCGCTGTCACAACCGAGATGGTCATTCCGGAATGACCCGTGACGTCATGGACTTCGCGCGCAGAATTTCAAACTCTCGCCGTCAATGTTGCTCTCTCTCTCTCTCTCTCTATATATATATATATATTTTTTTTTTTTTTTCGTGTACAATGTATTTTTGGACACGCGCGTCTCAACCAAACTGTTAAAAAAAAATTTTTTTTCGTTTTTTTTTTTAACGGTGGATTTTTCGCCGTTTAGCTCCGGCGGTTATTTTCATGGTCTCCTTCCAAATCGGTTCAACACACCATTAGACACGGTGGAACTTGACCCAAATAATAGATTCAACAAAAACAAAATATAGTGGAAATTGAAATTTGGATTTCGCTTCATTTTCACGCCGAAAGTCTCCACGGGCAAGACTAAAAAAGTGACGAGATGTAGGTGATGTGGGCGGCTCTGGATGTGGGTACACAGGGTCACAGAACTCTTTTTTCCAACGGATTACAAGAAGCTTATATATGGGTTTGTTGGTGAGAAACTTGATGCTAATGTATTATCTCACTCTTCGTCAAAATACTAATGTGTTTTCTCACTATCCTCAATAACCACAGTGGCACAGTGCACTAATGGGCTAGAGCTGCCTTTGTGACCAACGTTCTTGATAGACAACTGGCTAAAAAGTTGAGTGATAGTATTTGTTGAATAAGCAGATATATATTTCTTTCCAGAGCAACTGATGGTGGAATTTCGAGAAGTGCACAAAAAGATGTTCGGCATGTTGCCATCAGGATCAGCAGACCACACAGCTCTGCACCACTCACAAATTGATGGGGAACTCAGCAAGTCAGCAGCCATGCTCAATATTCAAGAGGTAAAAGGGTGTGCTGTGGTTGTAGACCGTATAGTCTAGTCTCTGGTAGGGAACACAGTACCTTTCAGTGTCAACATTGAGACATCTTTGGCTCAACACCCTTTAAATGCATAAATTATAGACTGGCACTAGTTTATAAACTAATCTGAGCAAGTAAAGTTCTGCCATTGAGGAGATAGTGGGCCATCCAGTCAATTTTTTTGTTATTATCGATTCCTGCAATCATTAACCTTCTTCATTCCATTTGGGGTAATTTGTGATAACTAAAGATGGAAATTCATTTCATTTTGACACAAGACTCTACAAGTATAAACCAGTACAAACATATTTCTTTTTAAATCTCAACATCTAAGTGTATGCACGAACTGCAGGAAAACTTGATCAATAATTATGATACCTGTAGTGCTCGGTATGCACCACACTGTCATGTGCATGACACAGCAAGCAATAGTATGCCTCTAATGTGCTAAGCTTCAGCTTTCGCTTGCCGCCGTGGGGATAGCTGCCGCTGCAGCTGAACCTCGTGCTAACCCTAACAGCTCTTGCTTGTCGCTGATGCAATGCTTGGCGCAGGCAGTGCCAGCGGAAGAGAGAGATCCTTTCCAGGGTGAAGACCAGCACGCTGGAGAAGTCAACGGAAAAAGCCCAACGCCGCAACCATCTTTACTAACACCCGAGGCAGAATCTGTGGATACGCTACGAAGTGCTTCACCCAGTGTAAGGATTTACTGGCAAAATAATGGTAGGCATTCATGCTCTGCCACAGCTTAGGAGAGATTTGTGACTGTTGCAAAAATACTTGCACTTTAAATTGATAATGCGAACGGAATAATGTCTATGCCCAAGAATAAACTGTAGAAAGAACTAAAGCTATTAAATTTTCTTTATGGTATTACTCCGACACCTAGGACTGGGGATGTTTTTCATAGTTTGCTAGCCTCACCATATAGTCCAGTACAGTAGAAGTTATTTAGTACTTTGGGGTGTCAGAAAAGAAAATGTAATATTGGTGCATGAGCACGAGGGTATTTAAAAATTTAAGAAAGGAAAATGGTAGGTCTCTTCGACCTACTCTGACAAACATGTCAGATGAATAGTGCTCAACATTGCTGCATATACCATCGTTTGTGAAAGATTGTGTTCTGTTTATAAGCCAATTGATCAGAGGCACCTCAAAACAAATTGCACATCATATACCCCGACGTACAGTACCCATACCTCACTACCTCACTCTCTTGAAAGGGCATTATGAAACGGAGGATGGTCTTGGGCACAACTTTCGTCTGCACCCAAACAGCAACATGCATGCACGGAGATAGTGAAAAAGAAAGAAGCGACAAATTTATACAGACGCCTAAGGTGCATAGATGTGCATGCAGTGAAGTCTCTGTGAGGACACACATGGCTCTGGGTTCTGACCAGTGGGTTGGTCCTGGGGCCGGGCCTATTTCGCCAGGAGCCGGTGGCAGCACCCGTCGCAGGGGGCAAGCGGCTGTGGCCCACCTTCGTTCCTCCGGCGCATCCTAACCCGCACATGTTTATTCAGCCTGCCTGCTTGGAGAAGGTACCTAATACTCGCGCTGCCAGCGCATTGCCTTCACAGCAATGCAGTAACGCTGTTTTGGCGGGATGGGGGACAGCTAACCACTTGCTTGACGGTGGGGTGTGCTCTGCAGTGTGGGAGGCTTAGAACGCTCCGGTTCTGAGCGAGTGGCATCGACAATGCAATGGTCTTCGATTCTTGTTTCAAAATGGTGAAGTCTTCAGCCGCAAATGATGTGATGTGATTTGATGAGTTTCGAACTGGTGTGTTTAGTGTCCTATATCACCCATGCATTGGAAGTGGTCTCAAAGTGGCAGCAAACAGTGTAACCGGGCCAAGGTGCAATGTCGTAGCCAGGAGTAATTTTTTGGGGGGGAAAAGGAAAGGGGGCTGATAAGCGCCTCCTCCCTCCTTGCTACATTACTGCCGGGGTGTCATGTCAGATGTTGCAATCCTGGCGATTGGTTGTAGAAGCTCCGGCAAAAAAAAAACAACAAGCGGATGTGCATGTCGCTGTCGTCGCCGCGTCCCAACTCCTGGCTGCTGAAGCTTTCATGGACTTTCAAGCTGGAGGGTGATCTGTAGCAGAACAGGCGTCTGCTGCATCCCCTTCAGCTGTCGTGCCACCAGATTTGGGGCAGGCCATGGCCAGACACCTGTACGACGTCTGCAGGTGGAAATCGAGGGATCGCATTTGAGGACGCAGTAAAAACGCCAGTTGGAGACACATTCCAGATTCTAAGGCACCATAGTGCTGACCCATTTGGTAGCTGCCATCATTGCCGCAGTATGTTTAGGTGTTGCTTTCCAAATCCCTTTTGACCATGAATCGAGGCCACTGTAATGCTATGTTGGAACGTTGTGAAGTCAGCTCCGAACTCTTTCTCTAACACACTGATTTCCAGAGGAGCACTCAGGTAGTGCGTGGCATAAATGCAATAAGGGCCAAATGAGTATAACCCACTTTAAGTAAGTCTCAAAAATCGGCTTTGCAACCCAGGTTGTAGGCACCTGTGGTGCTATGCTTGAAAGCTATACCATACTCGGCACCCAATATTTTGTGCTACTTTGACAATGCTAGCACGGCTTCCAGAGTGCTTCAGTCAAAGCTGGGTGTGCAAATCTGTGGCTTCATTTTGCGTCTCCTTCACACAAGGGCTTGTATGAATGAGATGCAAGATGCAGACATGCTTGCAGCCCTACAAGGCTGCAGCACTGCAAAGCTACAGCACTGCGAGGCTACAGCACTGAGGAAGCTATGCCAGTCTTAACAGCACAGCACGAAAATTTGTCGCCGAGTATAGTTTCTCCAGCTATAACCGACACACCAATGATTACTATTTCAATTTGGTAGTTCCAGCCATAACCATCAAAGTAGCCAACAGAAAAGCATGTACAATATGCTTGTAGCTTCTCCATAAGAGTTGGAATTAAAACAAGTTTACTACTTTTGTGGCAGAGCCTTGACAAGACAAATAGTGATTCCTTAATATCTTAAGCATATACAAATTATATTTACGTAGATCAACAAGAATCCTGAAGTACTATGCCAGGGCTTGGATAACTTGTCAAAAACACCTTGGTTTTGAAGCAACACAAAGCCCACATACGTTACCTCTTCATGCTGAATTCTAAGAGCACACCACATCATAGCCTTAAATAACTACCAAAATGACTTCGCTAAACTCTGATACCCCGTGAGCTTGCTCGAACTAACCATTTTTGAAGCCACTTGCTGGTTAGCAGCATATGTCAAAAAGAACATGACAACCAGGAGAGGCAGGCAACAGGCGTTACCGTTGCCAACTGCGCAGACCGTACAGGCGCTGAAGAAGGAGCGAAGCAGCACCCCTGCTGTGGCAACCGCGGTACCAGCGGCGCCGAGCCCAGTCAAGGCGGAGGTCGCGAGGCATTCGGGCAAGGGCCCCGCGCCAAGACCCCCTGGGTCCAAGGATGTCCCCATCACGGACAGCAGGGGACCAGAACCGAAGCCACCCAAAAGTTTCTTTGGACCCAGGCCTCTGGTCACCATCGGCAGCTACCCAGACGGGAGCAACCCCAGGCCCAACCGGTTCTCGCGGCCGGCAAACAAGGTGGAAATTGTCGACAGTGACAGAGGGTGAGGAAGTATATACGTGGTTTAATTGTTGCTCTGGGCATGCTGTATCTACGATTGCAACCTGCAGCATGAGCCATGCAATATGACGATGGGCGCGAGAAAATATTTGTTTCCAAGAATGCCATCTGCACTTAAGAGACCCTTTTCAAAGCCCCACCGAGCAACATTGGCGATTTGAAAATAATTACAATATTTTATATTTAAACTTTTGGCGAGCAATTTTATACAAAAATGTTGCCACCAAAAGGAGAGGCACAACGGAGCATGCGCGTCGGGTTTCCTGCAAGAACGACGGTCGCTTTCCGCAATGCTTGGATAGAAAATGACATACCATTGCGATTCACACAATTACCAACGACCTCCGCATTTCCCCGTGCCTCATTGTTCGGCAGCACCATTAGTGACGAGTGAACTTTACGACAGTGTGAAATGCGGGACATTTTGAAGATCTGGGAATTTCTCACGGGACGCAGAACACGAGCCCTCAATGCTGGACATTTTGAAGATCTGGGAATTTCTCACGGGACGCAGAACACGAGCCCTCAATGCTGGACAGTCCAGCTAGTTGCAGGACGGGTGGTCACCCTAGCACTTCAATTATAAAATTGTCTTTTTAAATGAAAACAAACAAGAGACAGTCCTCATGTTGCATTTAAGGGACCAGCATCTAAAAAGGTAATGAGAGAGTAGTGTTTGCGTCATTTGCAAACATCAGTAAAATGCGGTTACTTCATAATCGATACCCAAGGCTTCAGTAATTAGTCTAGCATGGACGGAAGAGTAAAAGGGATGCCTGTAGAGCTAAAACACTGAAGCAAGATATGGCAGCACGAGTTTCTTTTTGCTTTAAACAAAACGCGTAAGAAAATTCACAATTGCAAAACAATTACTATGACTCAAAAAAAAAAATGCACAGAGTTCTTCAATTGGGCAACTCAAGTGCTAATGTTTTGGGCCGCTCTACATAGAGGGCTCATTGAAAGAAAACAAGGCAGTTATTTTGACATCTCTTGTCTGTAGAAATGTTGGAAAATTTATATGCCTTTCAAGAAGTAGACATTCAAGCATAATGCTCTCATATTATGCCTTGGTGTCTGCCTTTTGAAAGATACTTTATAAATTTTTTGGGCATATCATAATTCAGTGGTTCTTAAATATCAATGTTTCGCGGACCCCTTGTGGATCGGCGGAGATGATGGAGGACCCCATTCGGGGTGAGGGGAGGGGGAAGGTATAGGTTAAATATAATAATAATTGAATAAATGGATTTAAGTAAGGGCTAGTGTAAAGTAGACCTTTATTATTGACACACACTTGAAGAAAACTCGCCCAAAAACTTAACATTTCTTCTCGATCTGGAAAAAAAACTTTTATTGCCGGGCTTGACTGATGAATGCGGACCCCTAGAATGCCTTCGCGGACCCCGAAGGGTCCGCGGACCCCTATTAGAGAACCACTGTCATAATTAATTGATTTTCTAATTTCCAGGACCACCACAGTCGACTCATCTAACAAAAGGACCGAGAGCAGGTCAGCATCGCCCCCTCGAACAAAGACGCCATCCCAGGCGCCTGAAGGCAACACTGGGCCCAAGATGACTGTGAGCATCAACTGCAAGGCTCCGAATCGGCCGAGCCTCAGCACGCGGTTCAATCTCAACGGGTGAGACACATTACTTTCCAGTGTGCAATGAAATCTCGGATTACAATAGGAGTTTTCACATGACGTTAACCCGTCACTTTGATGTTAGATGTCACCATGATGAGACTTACAGGATTCTGTACACTATGCATCTAAAAAGGGCTCTAGTGGATTTTTATATTGTCTCTCTATGGTGTAAACTCAATCTATGCACCCTAAGCATCCTGCACAACCAAAAATTACAATTACGCGCACCCTTTTTCGCTTTTAAACGTGCAACCAAACACCGCACTGTGCCCCGCAAATTTTTTTTTTTTTTTTCGGAAATGGTTGATTAAGAACTGGTTGCTTTGAGTTGCACTCACTCTCTTCTCTGTGGTCACATACCATTCAGACACACGTACCAAATATAATCGAAGTCGTGGTTTATCGAAGGCACACACTCAATATGAAAAATAGAAAAAAATATAAAACCCATTTGTTGTGGCTTCTAAAAAGCTGCAAACATGTTGATTGAGAAAAAAAAAAGTACTAGCACAGAGTCCTGGAAGTACATGTACTGTGCAATTCTCAACATGGTGTCGTATTGGTGGAGTTGTGGGCTGGACGGCTGGACAAAGGGTAGTGATGGCGGCAAACAACAAGCATGGGACCTCTAATTCAGAACTGTCATTCGCGAAACCGGCGAATCTTTCTAGCTTCGAAAGAGAAATTTTTTACCGATCAAAACAATTATGATTTATTCCGTACGACACGCCCGACCGCCAAGCTGATTCGCACGAAAACGTTGCCGAGTCGTCACCCCTTCTCCTGGCAAAACAAACATGAATTGGTAAGAGCTTGAAAAACGTGGAAACATCAAGTATGAAATGCTTGAAGTTTGCACGTTTTGCGTCTGCTTCGCACAACTAAAAAAAAAAAAAAATATTGGGTGTAGCTATGCGACTTCTGGCAGCTCTCGCGTCCTCTACATTTCTCCATCATCCCCAGTTCACATATCGCAGCCAATAGGGAGGTTTTCATAGATTGTTCAGCTGTTCTGCAACCCAGTACAATACCCGAAACTCTGCAGTCTTGGCAATCTGCACGCAGACGCAGTGGTGGCTTTTTGTTGCGGAGGGCTTAGCGGAGGGGGAAACGTGGTCTACGAAAACTCCCTATTAAAGGGAAGATGGGGCACTTCTACATTTGAGAAAAAACGCTCGAATTGCGTTCATTTGGCCTCTAGAATAACAGATATCACAATTATATTTCCATGCGACGCGCCGGAGAGCCATAAGAGCAATTTGAAAATAGGGCTGAAGCCCCGCCTCCCTAGCCTTGGCAAGCCAAAAGATCCGTCGATGACGTCACGTACAGCGACTGTCTTTGGCGTTTTTCTCGCGTTTAACAATACTTGCGCAGAAAATGGTTTTGGTATTCGGGTTCACGAGGTGAAAATACACTAGAATTGACTTCTAACTCATTTTTTTCAAGAAGCTCCGTAGCTTCCCTTTAACTCTGTGCCCATGTTTCGGTTTCGAGTGGTTGCATTTTTTTAAATTTATTAAAAATATGTGACTGTAGCAAAATATTGATTGGGTAGCCTTCTGACACCGTAGTAAATCGCCTGGCAACAAATTAAAAAAAAGTTTGGAGGGTGTCAGTGTAAGGGAAGATGGAACACTTCTTGAAAAAGATGAGTTAGAGGTGAATTCTGGCATGTCTTTATCTCGTGAATCTGAATATCATGTTTGTTTTCCCCAAAGATGTAACTAAACGCGAGAAAACACGAAAAACCTCTGACCGGTCGTGACGTCGTACTAGGATCTTTGGGCCGCCAAGCGCATGTTGCTCGTGTGGGCAGCGCGTGCAAATGCAAGCTTGCTAGGTATATTTGTCTGCACTGACACCAGTCGTGACGTCTATTTCTGAAGATGTGCGAGAGCAGGGATTCCAAAAACTCCTAGTATGACGTTATGCCCCGGGAAGGAGGGGCTTCAGCAGTACTTTAAAAATTCATTTCTGCAGCCACCGTGCACCAAATTGAAAAATAATCTCAATATTTGTGATCCTGGTGGCCAAATGAAGATAGTTTAGGTGTTTTTTCTCAAATACAGAGCCCTTTAGTTTTTCTTTAAGAGTGTCAAGTGAATCTTTGGTCTCATTGTAACAAAATGGTGGACGAAATTGCGTCAGAGAGTATTAGGTTAGTTAGTATGTGACCTGAACCGACAAGCACCAAAAACATAGAGAAGGGAAAGGTCTCCAAAAAGCACACAGCCCATTATGCTGTACCGCGGCTGGTACATTTCTCCATGGGGTGTTGCAGCAGTTACATGCCAGCTAAGTAAAGTCTATGAATTAAAAATGCTTTCTAGTAAACAAAATTTTACACAAGAAACTTACAATTTTTTTAGTGGCAGTACTACCCAGCCAGAAAGTGTACTATATGAGGAAGTGTACAAAAAGTGATAGTAATAGCCTTCTGGCCATTACTATCATGAGGCTCTAAATAAAATATGTATTTAATTTCTCTAAAAAAAATTTTCCAGGGCAAATCAAGCTGCTGCAAATGCCTTCAGTGTAAGTATTGAAGCTTATAATTAGAGCAAGGATATATATTTGAATTTGGGCTGGTCTACTTGCTGTCTCGCTCCAGATGAAATGCAACAGAACAGCAATTTTTCCTTTTCAGAACGAAGTGGATGAAGGCACCGTGGTGAAGACACTGACCTTTAAGAAGGTATGCAAGTACTGCATTGCTCGGCAAACATGAGATGCGGTTTATTTTTTAGTTATCCACACCCTTTTTAGTGATTCAACAAATATGACTAATAATAACACAATTAGAGGGCTGGGAAAACAAGGTAAATTTTAAAGAGAAGCTGAAACACCTCTTTAAAAAAATGAGAAGGAGGTTGCTTCTAGCATAGTTTTATCCCGTGAATCTGAATATCCTGTTTGTTTTCCTCGAAGATGCAACTAAACGCGAGAAGACACGAAAATCCTCCAACCAGTTGCGACGTCATAAGAGGATCTTTCGGCCGCCAAGCGCGTGTCGCTCGAGAGATGCGCATGCAATCGCAAGCTTCCCAGGTATATTCCCCTGCACTAGTATCAGTCGTGACATCTTTTTCTGGCCTTTTAAAAAATAGCAAGAGTACATGTGCATAGGTTTCATAAGCACTGAAGATGCGTGAGAGCGGAGATACCGAAACCTCCTTTTGTGACGTCGCACTCTGGGAAGGAAGGACTTCAGCGGTACTTTGAGAATAATTAAATTACTTCTACCATGGAAGTGTTGAGGATTGTTGCTCAACTATAAAAAACAGATGTACATAATCTTTTAAGAAAGAATATTGCTTTATGCTCATCCCCATAACAAAAACTGTTATGTGCCAGCATCAAATTTTTACATTACACAGAGATATGAACCCTGTGTGAAGTATATGCCATAGGTCTCATGGGGATGTCATGTCACGTGGCATCATGACAGCATGTGACATCACATGACACCATGATGTCATGCAACACCCCGACGTCATGTAACACGACATCATTTGGCTCTGTGAGGGCACAGCATCACGTGACATCTTGATGTCATGCAAGAAGGTTAGAAGACACGGAGATGATGTCAAGCTTTTGAAGCCTTGTCATAAAAACATAAACAAGAAGAATGTAAACATCAACAGGACTTGGTGAACACGAAGCATGTCACGTATAACCAAAGTCATCTTTTCTTTTTTTGGGGGGCATTGCGTTTATTTTGCACGGTCACGAGCAGGGCAAAGAAATGAAAGTGTGTGGCGTCGCGCGTCACCGTGATGGGGCTTTGCTGCGCAAGCAGCTGCAAAAATCGCGCCGGTTGTTCTTGCATGGGGATTTAGTTTCACCGGTAAGGATCTTGTCCATTACAATCCGAGTTCTGCAGCAACGTGAAATAATTAGCGATTCTCCGACACTCACCGAACTGAGAAAGCGATGGGTTTCATTCCTTAGTCACCGTCGCGGCAATGACGACCCCGTCAAAGAGGATTTGAGTGTGCGGATCGATTCTGTGATTCTGTGCAGTTAAAAGCAGATGACACGAGCATGTCGAAGGAACTGTGGAGCTGGATTCCTTTAGTGACAGTTCATACATTTGGCTTCTTCTATTCCGGAATGCTTCCCCCTACCCGCAGGTGAAGAAAAAACACGCCTGGGGCATTCCGGTAATGGAGACTGATTTAATTGCTACTTACAATACATCGGGCACGAGCAAAGCCCCACCACGGCGACGCTTACAACAGGAAGGACGACTGCGCACAGGATGTGCAGTCGTCGTTTACGCTAAGCGTAAAACCGAGTTACATATTTTTTGCTCCACGATATCTTTATACAGTCACGCGCTTGTTCCACTCTGATTTAGGAACGTCTATTTAGTTAATCCGTACATATGTGAAGTCACACACAATCGGCATTTAATGTTTTTCTTCAGTTCCAATGCACACCATATCCGAGGATCAGTCGACGCACGAGCAACTGCGCACCTATTGACAGTCTTGCTCCGCTCACCAAGAACAAAACAATGTTCGTCGATAATCACAGAGTTTCCAGCAAAGACGATCAGAACTGAATGCTGCCACGCATGCTCGCACTGTCGAGCGCCACCGTAAACCATCAACAACCGCGAGCATCACGGGATAGGGTCCTCCAGTTGAGGAGGTTGTTTGGCGCAGGGGAATGAGAAGCAAGAGAAAAGGGAGGCTGTCAAGAGGTATGGCTTGCGGAAGCTACGGGACCGACATCATGGCACCTCCAGGTCCTCCTTCACGTCATGCAACACCGTGACCCTGCATGATGTTAGGGTCACCTGTAACAATGACTGTGCTTATGTTTTTAGTATCACGAGGCTGTGACATAAAAGTGAGCATGCATGTTTCCTGTTTGATGGCGTGTACAAGAAGCGGTGTTCTTCTCAGGACGGTCCCCTGAACCTGAACCTGGAGGGAGGCCTGAACTCTGTGCACGATGGCCGGATCATAGTGACCGAAGTGCGCGAAGGTGGTCTGATCCCGGTGGATGGCGACATCGCCAGCGGCGACCAAATCTTGATGGTCAACAACACCCGTCTGGTCAATGTTTCCCTTACGGCAGCTCGGGTGGCCATGCAGAATGCCATGGGAAGCGAAAGCGTGAGTGCCTGTGGCCTCCTCTTTCGTCCAAGCTCTGCATTTCTTATACATCTGCAAACCTGTGTCACTCGGTACATTACAAATTACAATGTATTTGACAAGAGCACCTATAGACCTTTTCGTTTCGGTAGCTACCCAACCAGCAGACAGAGTGTGCTGACCAGGGTGTAAGATAGACAGGTGGGGAAACGAGAGCCAAATGAGCGACCAGATTGTGTCCCCCTCGGTTTTCTCTTTTTCTGTGGCGCAATCTATGTGGAGCACCGCGAACTCTCACTCCGGGTGAGCGACCTTTGGCGACCGGCTAAACTGACGGAGATGGTTTCTTGTGGATTTTCAATGGAGGACCGTCGTGCTCTCGTTTTATTTTCCGCACTCTCCCATAGAGTTTTATGCAAATCCGATTCCGATTTTTTTTTTTTTTTCTCGCCGCAGCACCATTTGTTGCAGATCGGGGGTACTCGCAAGCAGACGAGTACACAATCCGGTCACGGCGCGGCGGTAGACTTCTATGGGCCGTTTCCCCACCTGTCTATCTTACACCTTGGTGCTGACTCAGTTGCTGCCATAGGGTGGCTTCAATTTGGTTGGTTTCAGTTTCAGCTTGCATGCAGTTTGGTTCCGTATTTCATGACATTTTTGCGAAATTTTGTGATAAAAATGTGTCGAGTTGTACTGTTGAAACAGTTGTACTGAGCCATTTTAAGAACTGCAATGTAGTCTCAAGTCGAAATTGCAGAATGTTTTATATTTGTCGTTAATTTTGGCCAGATTCAGTACTGAACTCTAATACTGAACTGATGCCCAAGGAGAATTTCCATTGTCTACGGCCGTGCCCACAGACACCAGTCTGATTACTGTGCGAAATTCGCAAAGAGCAGATGAATTCGCAAGTCTACTGCTCACCGTTCGATATTTGCGACATGAAACTTTTGTAGATTTCGGAAACTGGAAAAGCCTCCTGTAACGATGCAGAGAATCTGAAGAAGGCATAATACTGTCTCGGGCTGTTTAGTATTAAACAATATGACCAAACTACCTCATATGATGTTAAGTTCCCTTGTCTGATCTGGTATCTGAGATATAGGCAAGTTACAAGAGTAAATACGATAGAGCATGGGTTCCCAAGCTTCCAAATTTCCTCGACCGTCCCTGCCTTTAGATGAACCAGTTTTCCTATTTAGCACTACTTTGGCAGACCTGGACAACCCACTAGTACATAGCTACATGTGTAAAACGATCCTTAGTGTGGGCAATACTGTTTACAAAACCCATAACATCCTGTACTGCGTTACCACATTATTGCCAAGACCAGAAATGGTTCCCCAACTTTTCTCACAAATCCGAGGACCCCAGCGATGGGTACACGGTGCGATACAAACATAAGGGTACGGGATCGTTGTGTCCGTCTTCTACTCTGCGACTGTTGTCTCATGCATGCATGTTTGGTGCTCGACTAACCCATTAATGTGCACGGCTGTTGCAGCGCGAGCTTCGCCTGACGGTGGCCAAGCAGCCGCAGCAGTGACTCCAGTCCGATCCCGTGACAAAACCCGTCTGTGCCTCGAACGCTCTCAATATTCAAGAACGAGAAGAAAACAGACGAGGACGGCCTCAACGAGGCATGCCACTTTTTAAACCTCTCCCGCTTTCCAGCTCCATTGCGTGAAGATACTCCCATTACGTTTAAAATGCTTTGTACATACAGGATGCCACAGGCTGTAGTAGGCTGGTCGATTTTGTTTGCCCACAGTCCCTCCACTCTGCACGCAAATGCCTGGCATCACTGAGAAGTATGTAAATAAAAGACACGACTTTGTTCCTTTTAGTGTCCTGTATTGACCTACTGTGCGTCCTGTGAAATAACCCCGTGTGCGTGTATGTGGTTTTCAATAAAGTGTGTGCCTGCTCGTACCTCCTACTACTTCTTGTCTGTTATGGACTGTACCAACACCTCCGAGATGAAAAGGCCGCAGTGCTGAATCTTTGGCATCGCCCACGGTGTCGCCAAACAGAGGCCAATGCAAGGCACGGATTAAACACAAGTGCTGCGTTAGCGTTCAGCAATCAAACACGAATCACAGTCAAGTGCTGACACAGCAACTGTGTCCAATCTGAGCTCAGCATTCACCTCTCTCAGGCGATAGTGAAAATTCAGTCCTACAACCTTGTGATCTATACTCTGTTCGACTTTTAAGAGCGAGCAATGCAGAAGCTACGAGAGAGCTACGGCTTTCAGTGTCCTTGCCAAGCACTTGTGGAGTGCAAGCACTGTTCAGGGCCACATGTCGCGCTTGTAGAATTGGGTGCGTCTGGACTTAAGGCTGGCTCACACTGGCTCATTTTCTTACGTTGCTACATTACGAGATATTACTTTGAAGTCACCAGGACCTCTGTGCTTCATATTAAGCGAGGCTACCAGTGGCAAAAAGAAAGCATGACACTCGACATTTGAGACACAAATGTTTCGGTGACTTATACGTAACTTAACGTAAGAAAATGGGGCAGCGAGAATGAGCCTTTAAGCTAAAACGAAGAATAGGAGGGGTTTCAGAAGCACCACCCCCGCTGAACTCCGTGCCAACACTTCAGTGGGTTAGAAAGGTTAGTGCACTTTTCATACGTTTGGGACGTTGCAACCTGTGCGACAGCAGTGTTTATCTTGGGCATGCTTCATATTCCACTCCCCATTACATGCCCCTTCTTGAGCACACACTGAAAACATTAAATCAAGTGGCATGTGAAGAGAAAAAATTTTAGCCATTTGCTAGCTGTACCTGGGTAAAATGTCTCTCAGAAAAACCTTAAACTAGAGCCAGTAAATAATCTAATCCTAGGGTACACGACGGTTTTAGATCAATCAGTTGACAAGCTCCACGGAGGAGCGGTATTCAAAAACGCTTCTTCTATGTGCCGATCACAAGCAGATAAGGGAGGATAGCATTCCTAGCACCACCAGTCATCGCCTCCACGGGCAACGGAGAAAAGCATTTTTCGAACGATGCTCTTTTGGCATCAAGTATTGCGGAAACCTTATGTTTACCATAAAGACCACAATAAAATCAATTTCCACCTTAGTAATGTGCATCCAACGTTCCACTGATTTTGCAGCGGCTGTCCACAGGGCAAGCCGACAGTGTAGCAAGCACCACCGAGCAGACGCGCCGCTAAAAGTCGGGCATTTTAGAAGCTTGTCCACTGCCCTACATCTAAAGACGTTGTAGGGTACTGGCACTCCAGTTCCGTACTTCCTTGTAAACGCCGCAATTTGGTGCCCTCTGCAGAGCGGGCACAATTGGCATTTGCCACAGGAGAGAAATCCCTCCCTTTGCTCCCTGGGATGTGCATCACGTGGTAACATCGTGCCTTTGTGCGGAGCCACGCCGACGTAGACATACCAGCACGATGGGGGAGCTTTTCTTCAGGCTGCACAAAAAACACTCCCACCTTGGAATGGAGTCTCCGCAATTTGCGGTATTTTGTTTGCACGTCTGGCAGCTTTAAATTTTGCTCGGTGAAATGCCGCTGGTGACATCGGGATCTCCTAACCGGTTGTGGCTTCCGCTGTGGCTCGTGTCGTCCAAGAATACAAGACACCCAAAGGAGTGTTCGATATTCATCAATGCCGTCCTCGAGCCGCTCCTCATACAACTGGCTTATGATTCTACACCCTTTGCGTTGCATCCACTCATTTAAGATGCATCTTTCTTTTAGCAGGGAGCAGTTTGTCCTACGCATCTAACAGCGCTGCTGCCACAGTCATGCATTGCAGTTTTATGTACGCCTCAGTTTTTCTACTCTTGGGTGTCGGGAAGCTTGGGCAACATTGTTTTCCTTTTTCTGGAGTGTGGAAAGTCGTACCCTACAATTTCAGATAAAGCTTCAGATAATGATCTTAAGTACCAAGAGAAGTGCAGTTTCGTTACTTTGAGGTGTGACTTTCTATTAGGCTCTAGGGAAAAGTGCTCAGCAGAAGCGGATTAAGGGGTAGCTACAATTGTAGAGCTTTGTCACGAATCAATACACCGCCCCAAAGCGAGCGCAAAGCCCTTCAATGTGTTTGTCTTACAAAAATGCACAAGGCACGTGCCTCATGCAGCCCTTGGAGGCAAACACCGCTGAAATGAGCAGCCCTCGGAAGCAAATGGTGGCAGAGCACTCGCTCGTACACGTGCTTTGCGTGTTCACACAATGGATGTTGGTACTACTTGTTTAAAACACAAATTTGATCAAGGGGGCTTTAAGCGAGCCATGTGCATGCCACCCTCTAGTGTACACTACCGTCAACACTATTGTTTATACATGACTTCCCAGATTGTCGGTGAGCAAAAGCTCTCGTCTGGTCATTCCAGACGCTCTGCTGCCTAGCAAGAGCACAGTTACTCTGCATCTCTAGCGCTCCACCAGCCAGTGGTGCTTTCCTAAAAACACTGCCTCAGCGGCTGGTCTAGCCCAAACGAACATAATGCACCTACGTGGTCCTTCCTCGGGTAATAAGTGCCACAGTGCAGCGGCAGTAGTCAAAAGCCATTGCATGCAGAGTGCATTTTATGGCTGGTTTCAAAGTCTGGAGCGTTATGTCACAAGCATTCGTTGTGGAAGCATGATAACATGGCCAAGCGTCTTTACAAATATTGCGGCAAAGGCAGTGACAACACTGAATGCGACGCAGCACTGCCGTATTTGGTGCCACAGCAACGCAACTTCAAGGATTGGGCATATATACTCGGCGTCAACTATTTTGTGCTATGTTATCAAAGCTAGCCTAGTTTCTAGAGTGTTCCAACTCTGTCGAAGCTGTCAAAGCATGCAAATGAGGCGCAAGAGACAAAGCCACGTGCTCTCGCAGCAGTGGAAGCTATGCTAGCTTTGACAATGTAGCACAAAATAGTCGACGCAGAGCATAGAAACGGAGAAGACAAAAGAGTTGCATTGCAAGGCGACTTCCTTGTGAACGGCCCTACCCGTAAAGAGTTCCTAAGTAAAAGAATTAATACAAGCTTGACCATGCTGACAAAGATTGGTGTGCACAGAATGTGCGATGGGCCTTCCAGGGAAGAGGAGCAGGGCGTCTGAGCAGCACGCCCTACAGAAGATTTGCTTCCATTTCTGACACACGCCGCGACGATTGATTCGTCTTTGCGGGCTACCAACCGCCGACCCTAGATAGCTCAGACAACATAGCACTTGGCTCACCATCTCAAGGTGGAGAGTTCAAATCCTGCCGGGGACTGAAGTCTTTCTTATGTGGTCCCCTATGGGCACGACACTCTTCAATGTTGGGTTTTTCGTTACAGCCGGCTGTTACAGAACTCCATGAAAATCGGTTGATAAAACACATTCTCTGTTAAAAGAAAGCACCTGAGCTCAGCAGGGACGCTGAAAGACTGGAGCTTGCTCATTTAGCACGTGGCAAGAGTAGAGCGTGTCGCAGGTGTGAAGTGACGCGCAAGGGTAACTCGGACTTATTCAAGCAAGGGGGTTCGGCCGGAGCTTGGGTTCAATAGGTGAGGACACACTACCTGCGCGACAGTTTTCCATTTAAGTCCAAAACTAGAAACAGTTAGGTGCCAGCCATTAGCACATTCTGTGCTGACAACACTTTGTCTCTACGGACTCAGTCCCTGGTCTTCTTGCTCCGTAATACTCCTGTGCTAGCAGAGCAACTTGAATAAGTGTTGCTACAAAAACTGTGTACATGCATTGGTATAAAAAAGAAAAAAATTGTACACTAGTTTAATGTTGAGAAGGGTCCCAGGCAGCAGAAAAACCTTGTGCCAATGCTGGGGTAAAACTGGGTAACCTGGCCCAACATTAGGTCGGGTTCCCCAATCTATGCCCAATATTGAGACAATCTTGGTATGGCTAGTGACGGGACTTTACACCGTAGAGTCAGGCAGCATTAGGTATTTCATGTGGTCACGTGGCCTAGTCACACCAACCCCGTGACCAATAGTCGCTGATGACGCAAAGTATCACAACCCACTGCAGCTGCACATAAAAGAGCAGCCGCAATGGCTCAATGCATGTCAGTTACAAACATTTTAACTTGCCTCAATACTTCACATTAAGCCAACTGATACATAATGTGTCCTGCATTTGTGTTGGTGTCCCAAACAGCTTACCCCAAAAGCTAAACGAACAAAATGGAGCGACACAAACCCATGATGCAATTTGCATCAATCGGCTTCATGTGAAGTATCAAGGCGACCTGCTGCCAATGCAGTTGGTTCTTTACCTCGAGCCATTTTCTTCAATTACGGTCCATCCCAAGGAATGAACGAACCGGAGTAAACTTTGCACGCTGGTAACCTTGGAGGCCATGGTTCATGTCTGTTCTGCGTAGATTCTGGGAAGCACACCCGCAAACATGCGACTTTATCAGGTACTTTCATTGTGTGAGGGTCAATGGAAAGGATGTCACTGGCAGGTGTGTGCTTTCATGCCTTCAACCCCGGTACTGCACACACCTTGCAAATGGCTCGTAGTGAGAGACATAAAAGAAATCACATAAAATACCACAGTGTAGCCCAACAAATGCACGTGGAATTTATTCAAAATTCTACATATCATCTTTTTTTTCCACATCTATTGCTGAGTAGGGGGTAGCTTCCACCAAGTATTTCATCCTTTCCAGTGACTAGACCACTAGCGATTCTCTTCATTTATTCACAAAAATTGGGACGCTATATCACAGTTGCGTGACATTAGGGTGTGACAAACGCATCCGGCTCGGCCGGCTCCAGAAATACTCTACGACGGGACCAAGTTTTGTCATCTTTTGTAGCGCGCTACAAAACTCGGAGTTCTGGTACTGAACACATCGACATCATGAGGTAAGTCGGTGATGTAACAGCCTCCACCCATATTACTGTTTGCTGCACTACTGTCCGGCTGTCCACCACATTACTGTTTGCCCTACCTTGTGACACAAATGCACTCAAAACTTTTTTTTTCTGAGTTCTTCTCGTCTTTTTTTTTTTCTTTTCTTTTTCTTGTTTTAAGTTTAGTTTTTCTAGGCAAACAATCGGTCACTTCTCTTGCGGACGTAATAATTCCTTGTGGCCAATATGATCGCGCTTCAACAAGTCAATAAATATGACGACGCTGTAGTCACTGACAAGGTGAAAATGGGAGGGAGGAGCTTCAATCATCCCGCCTCCAGAACAAGCTTCCTACTTTCAACAACGCCTCATCTCAAGCATGTTGAGCGCGTGCGCGTAGCCAAAGCGTGTGCTGGGGGTCGGGCGTTCGAAGAAATACCCTGTCGTTCATATTCTGTCAGTGGCGATAGTCTGTTGCACCATTAGAGCTATTGCTGATCGTATGTTGCAAAAGACTACGCGGAGTGCAAGTTCGTCTGCTTCTTGAGCAGGGGCTGCGGTGAGGTCGGAACGCCAAACTCTGATTGGCACCGATTGGAAGGATAGTGGGTAGACCTCGAGGCAGCTAGCATTGAGGTCACCCTCTATTCGTACAATCGGAGCCAATCGAAGCTTGGCATTCCGACGTCGCCGCAGCCCCCGCGCAGGAAGCAGACAAACTTGCGCTCCATACAGGTTGCCGGCATTTGTCACGCCAGCAGGAGGAGGTCACCGAGTGTTGGCCTAGTGCGAACTAAGACTAGCAAAGTTGGGGGCATACACCTAGCGAGTCTGGTTGCTCTGCTCGGGCTAGAGGGTGCTAGTATGGCAAAAGAATTGTGTCCCTGTATGTACACTGCAGACGAGATTCCTGGAATTTCCTTTTTTTGTTCCCCTCTTCTGTTCACTTCGTCCATCAGTCCACCTCCACTGCCCAGCTGTGCGGGACGACGCCGTACTGCAAAGTAAAGCCGATCCACCATGTTCGTCAACACCTCTGTGAGTACTAGCAAATGCCCTCGGTCGAGGGGCAACATGTGACAACTACTGGACACTGGCACTCGCTGACTGTTACCAAAACATTCGCTGAAAAGCTGAGTTTTTTTTTTTCTCACTATATTTGTTTTGCAGATAACAACCACATAGGGAGGCAGAGATGAAGGCATGATGCCTGACAGAGCCTATCCCCCCCCCCACAGTTCAGCAGTTCAAATACAATAGATAACATCATACGTGAAAAATTAAACGAAACAAGGCATATCAATACAAAGCATTGATTACAAAACAAATTGGTGTGCATATGTTTATACAGTCTGAACTTAGCCTGCCTCGACAGGTGACTTGTCTCTCAGCTGTAGATGAGCAATTTAGCCAGTGCAGTACAACCGCTAGCCACAATGCAGTAGCAATAGTTGACCACTTGGCCACCGATCCCCCACCCCCCGCATCAATTACATTAAAGGGATGCTGAACCGAAATCTGGATTCCCCAAAACACACGGCAAAAGCGTGCAACGGGATGCTACAAACACCAAAACATCACTCACACAGTCATATCTCGAACGGATGACTGTATTTTTAAAAAAAGAGGCGCAATTGGCAGGAATGTTGACGTCATGTTTCTCCGAGAAGGATAGGGAACGGCCTCGCGTCTTCTCCGCCTCGCAGCCTTGAGGGAGTGAAGCGAAGAGAGGAGGAAACTAGGTATCTTGACGTCACTCGCCTCGTCGGCCTGGTTCAATCTCGACTTCTTTTTCCAAAAATACGGCCGTCCAATTTGAGATATCGCCTTACTAGTAGTGTTGTAGGGATTGTAGAGTCCCGCCTAGGTCTCCAGCATTGTTTTTTTTAAATCCAAATTTCGGTTCACCATCCCTTAATACATAGGGGTGTCTCATTAAATTAGTAAAGAGAAAACAAAAATACAATCTACACAAAACATTAAAACAGTTCTTTCACCTCTGATGTATAGTATGACAGAAACTGCTTCATCATCATTCTGATATAAAGAATGTAATTCATAACATTTCAGCAGAAAAAAAATTGGTTTAAAGATTCAGAAAAAAAAAAGGTAATTACGTAAGTACTACTTCTCATGAAAGAAACTTCCATTATACAAAAGAAAATGCAACCCCGCCTATCGCCAGCACCCTTCTGCAATGATTTTGGAAGCTATAAAACGACTGATCCAAGTTTAAGTTTATGTCTGTTTTGTTTAGAATTTTGTTATTTGGAAAGCTAAGGCTTGTCGACCCTAAATTTGTTCTTATGGATGGCATTTTTCGCTTTGGATCTTGGAACACTTCTAATCCACGTATATATGTTTGCAATGTTTTACACAAAAGTTTTTTGCCTTGGGCTCAAAGTAATTCTTACAATGTTGAAAGCAACTATTTCCCATAGATAGCGATTTGGTCTCGCAAACACTGCAGAACCTTCAGTCTCAAAAGTAAACATTTCGGAAGAACTCCGCCTGGTTAGGTAAGTAATAAGAAAGGGTACTTTGTAGACTAACCAATTTCTTTAAAGTGCCCGACGTTTCGAAGCCGGCTCGGCTCCTTGTTCACGGGTGACTGTATGTGGGCCCAAAGGTAGCAATCTGTCGTTTTCTTCTTCTGTTGCTGTGTGTGGCACATCGTAGCCCGTGTACTATATAGCTGCTTGGAAGCGTTCCGATGGATCGGTTCAGTTTGTTGTTAGTATTTTGAATGTGCCAAGATTCTAATAAGAGCCGCTTTCTCCAGTTTCTTTCTCTGTCAAGGATGGAACTGCTGTCAAAGCCGATGACGCGGCCGGTCTTCTGAGCATGTTCCGCCAGCTCGTTGCCTCGGATGTCTTTCTTCTTTACGTCATACTTCTGCCTGCACAGACGTTCGAGGAAGTTCTTCGTTTGCCCCACATAAGAGGTGTCGCATTCAGCACAAGGAATTCAGCAAATCAGGCCTTGAGCTTTTTCTTTCGGGGGACGATCCTTTGGAAGAGGAAGAAGATGGCCTATAGCTGAGACAGGTTTAAGTCATATGTGTAACTGCGATGCCGTACGGTCTCAGAACGCGGGCTGGGACCTCGCTCGTGCCATGGAGGTACGAGACGCACATGCGGCTGGAGGTGTTTTTGTTCTTGGATGCAGGAGGGTGATGAAATTTCTTGTATATCTTGTTGACGAACCTTGTGGGGTAGTTGTTTTTTCTAAGGTCTCGTCTTATAAGATTGACTTCCATCTTAAGTGACTTCTTTGTGGAGCAGACCATGAGGGAGCATCCAAAGAGCGCCGACACCACAGAGGATTTGTGACTAGCGGGGTGGTCTGACGAGAAGTTTAGGTAGCAACCGGTGTGAGTTGCTTTCCTGTATACACAGTGGCACAGCCATGGGCGCCACTGTGTCCGTCACAGTAGCCAACCTCACAATGAAAGCCATAGAGCAAAAACCCTAGGCACGTTTACTCCCATACCCATTTTGTTTCTACATTATGTAGATGATTGCTTCTGTGTTGCCAAGACCAGCGAAGTTGATTGCCTTCACAAACACCTCAGTTCCATCCATCCAGACATTCAATTTACGGTCGAACATGAGTCTAAAGGTTGCCTTCCATTTCTGGATGTGTCCGTGAAAAAACAGAGAACCACTTAACCTTCCAAGTATACAAGAAAGCGACGCACACCGGTTGCTACTTAAACTTCTCGTCAGACCACACCACAACTCACAAATCCTCTGTGGTATCAGAACAAAAAAATACCTCCAGCCGCATGTGCATCCCGTACCTCCATGGCACAAGCGAGGTCCTAGCCCGCATTCCGAGACCATACGGCATCGCAGTTACACATAAACCCATCTCAACCATAGGCCATTTCCTTCCTCTTCCAAAGGATCGTCCCCCAAAAGAAAAAGCGCAAGGCCTGATTTACCGAATTCCTTGTGCTGAATGCGACACCTCCTATGTGGGGGAAACAAAGAACTTTCCCTAACGTCTGCGCGGACATAAGTATGACATAACGAAGAAAGACATCCAAGGCAACGCGCTGGCGGAACATGCTCAGAAGACCGGCCACGTCATCGCCTTTGAGAGGAGTTCCATCCTCAACAGGGAAAGATACTGGAGAAAGTGGCTCTTATTAGAATCTTGGCACATAAAAAATACTAACAACAATCTGAACTGATCCACCAGAATGCTTCCAAGCAGCTATATACACAAGCTACGATGCACCACACACAAAAACAGAAGAAGAAAACAATGCTAAGAGAGAGAAGAAAAAAATGACGACAGATTTCTACCTTTGGGCCCACATACAGTCACCAGTAAACAAGGAGCCAAGCTGGCTTCGAAACGTCGGGCACATTGAAGAAATTGGTTAGAGTCTACAAAGTACCCACCTTCGGTCTAGTTATATACAGGTTGGAAGCGTTCCACATCTACCCGACAAGTGGCGCGCCGCTGCGGTGCACTCAATCACAGTCAAACGCCAATGTGTGAACCGGCCCCAAGTTACCCCGAGTTGGTTTTTGTCTTACCTGAATGTCGGTGATTGCCTTGAGAATCCTGTTGACCAGGGAATTCTTCTGCTCCATGGTGGGTATGTACAGGTCTTCGCCTCTGTGCACCAGCCGCTCGATGGGGCAGATGACGCACGCCGTCCCGCATCCAAACATCTCGAGCAACTGTGCAAAGACGCGCGAGTTGCCGCAAACGGCTTCATTTGCCCCGCTCGCATCACGTTAAAGGTGCGACCGCCGACCACACGGTAGGTTTTTCTCGCGCCTTGTCGGTGTCTCGAGGTCACGTGCAACAATGTGAAGCGCACGAGACTCCAACGTCTGCACCGTCCAGATCTTGGCGTCGCCAGAAGTGGCTCGACAATCGGACGCGTGTGCCTAGTACGAGAAAGGTCGGGCAAAACTTCTGTGTTGCACGGTACGATCGTTTCAAGAAGAATGGTACATTTTTATAAGGTTTATAGGCTCTAAATAACCTCCATTGTTCAGCATCAATACACTGCAACAAGATAGTGGTCACAGGTTGCCAGATGTTTTAGGCCTAGTTGATCTGGTGACGCTGTTCAGTGCCCGACCGACGCGGGCTAGTGCGCGTTTCTGTGGGGTTGGCCGCCCTCTCCCTCTCAGTCGTGTGCCGACACCTAGACGTTGATGCCGATGAAGTGCGTAAAAAAAGTCCACATGGTTGGTGTAGTGTCTTGGAGTAACAGGTCAGAGGGAACAGGAACATAGTTCATAGAGCTCACGGGACGCCAATAACAAAGACTAAGCATGTTACAAGCATGGGGGCAAAGCACAGACTGAGGGGCGGGTGCGCTGCAGTGTAGGTGTCGGCCACGCTCCAGTCACTTGAGCGCCTGTATGCTCGATGGGTGTGCAATGGCGCAGTCGTCGCTCACATACTAAGCATACTATCACAACAGTTGGGCCATAAATAGTTCCGAAGTGCCCATGAAACACTGCAGGTGTCTAAACTGCCATCAGTATGCCGTCTCGCATTAGTGCGAATTGCAGCAAGGACTACAATTCCAAGTTGTCTTAAAAATCCACGGATTATCAAAGAGTATATGTAATCAATGATTTACAACTGTTATGTGTTTACACTGGGTCAGGCTATTGCACAAATGAGATAAGAAGCAGAATGACTGCATTTAAAGCTAAAGAACTGTGACAACAGATACAACTTAATTTGTGGTCTCTGTCAGTGTTAATTCTGACAATGCTTAGAAATTTTTTGATCATTTGTCATCACTAGCTGTCAGTCATTCAGCCTTTCTTACCTTCACTATTCTTTCTATACTATTTCAAAAAGATATTTTTAAAACATTGCCCTTGCTGAACAAGCAATGGCTACACATGACGAGTGAAACTACTCCGATAACATGCAGGAAGTCGCAAGCATGTGTTGCGCACTCCTGCAGAACCTAAAACTGTTGCCAACATTTCAAGGTTTCTTATACACCACTCTTGATGCACATTTGCTTTGAAGCAAAGGGTCTTTCCAATTACTCGGGCTGTCTGTGAACCAATAAGCATAACATTGTCACAAAAAATGTGCAGACAATGAGCAATGTAATCTAAAAACAATCTATATATATAAAATGGCCCCAGCCTGAGGTGAGAAATTAAACTACCTAGCCATAGAAAGAGAATGTGGACGAGAGCATGGCACCACTGGGCACCACGACCTCAAAGCAACTCCTAGGACAACCTCGAAAAAAACCTCTCGGATGACTTCTAGGAAGACCTCGAGGACGACCTTTAGGACGAGTTCTAGGACGACTTCAAGGACGACGCCTAGAGGACAACCTCTCAGATGACCTCTCAGATGACCTCGAGGACGATGCTTAGAGTACGACGCCTAGGACGACCTCAATGGTGACTTCTAGGACGATGCCTAGAGATGATAACAAGGAGTCAGGACCTCTAATAATGCAAAGGAAGGCTGACTCATGCTGGTTGCCCCCTCTTTTTGTTTTTATTTACTCATACTTGCCACAACCAATGGGGAGTTTTCTGTCGACATGTGAGGACAAATTTTTTTTCCGAGACCCTAGCATATAACAGCTTTGCTGTAAACAGGAAGTCAAAGGACAACATCTTAAGGGCCAACCAACGTTACTAGATTGGCTCAGTTGACAAGCTCAGCATTAGCTGTACTCGGGAAATCCGGCCCACTCCATCCGTGCGAGCGTGGTGGCGCTGTTGTCGCAGCCCGCCCGGTCCACGAGGCCGGCCAAGCTCTAGGCAAGCGCGGATGCTAGCTTTTCACTGTGAAACTAGGCAGTCGGTGGCACATCGGCAGCCCTTGTGCAAATCTTTTGAAGAAATTGACACTGCAAGTAGATCCTGCTGCAGCCACGATTGTAAATATGCACGCTTATGATTGCTTCCATTTTTAGAAGGTATAATGCAACAGATGGGAGCGTAGGCGTCTAGCTTCGGGCGGAGCTTTGCGAGTGGGATTTTCTGCTCGTGTAACAACTAAAACAGGATTTATCTCATTGTTGATGTCTCTCATATTCGTCTATGACCAACATCGCAAATCAGGAGCTCGCATGCACTGTCAGCGCCGTATCCAGTTCTCGTTAAACACTCCTTACATATCTGTCACAGGAAAACTAACAAAACATGTTTTCTGCTTTTTATTTCTTGCTACAACAAATCTTTGGCAAGGCTAGAAAATACCTGTAGTTGGCAATCACGAAAGCCGGGTGTTCTTGCTGCCACCTTCTCCGTCATCTCTAATTTTCGATTGGCGTCTCTCGTATATACACACATATCTGTGCTTGTCAGCTGGTCGGAAGTGATGTTTTGAAATTTTTACCCCTTAGTCACACGTCTCCAAAATGGGAGAGGAATAACCCAGCTGTTTTCACCACCTCCGATGTTCTAGTAGTGGGCCTCGACACAGCCGAATACAAACACAAGAACCTCCTGCTTCCTTCAAATGACGAAGTCTTCAAATTGACATTCTCTCTTAATATGGCTTTGCAATGTATGCAGCAGTTTTTGCTTGAAATTCTGACAAAAACACAGAACACCACAAAAGGAAAGTTCACGGTATTTCAGTCCGCAAACGACCAAACCACAGCAGTCCATGTGCCAAAAACAATAATAGAAGCAACCATTTTTCCGAATGTCAAAGATTGCCAAAGCTACGAGGGCTTGGCGGGCATGAATGCCGTTTCAATCCGGATACTATCACAGTGGCAACAGTTGTTGATAATAATACACTTTGTGAACTCATACAAAAACGGTGCGTTTCACAGCATGTCCGAGGGTACCGAGGCCAGTTGGAGTGAGCAGGCGGGCATGGCAGCGCATCACTTTTTCTCGGATCATGTCAACTTAGCCAATCCAGTAAGGTTGGGGCCAACCAACCTCAGAAGCCACTGAAGCACAAAATATGTAGGTTGGTGAGTCCCTAACCGCTAACCGATCTTGAAAAGAAAGAAGGCAACAGGTGCCAGGGATCGAACCACGGTCACCGGCGTGGAAGCCGTGAGCGCTGCAGACTGAGCTACGGAGCCAGCACACAGGAACGGGGGGAGCAGAAGCAGGTGGTGTGAAAAAGTTTACAGAGCGAAGAAGTGTGGAAAGGGCAAGAAAGAGAAGAGCCGAAACAGGTTGAGTAGAAAGAACACACAGAACGAGGAGGAGGAGTGGAAAGGTCAAGAAAGCGCACTTCCTTTGATGACCCAGAAAATTCAGTGTAAACGCATTGTATCCGGATGGTGCTGAAGGGAAGCACGTGCAGCGTCACAAAGAGACAATGGTGTGATGTAATCTTTTTCCATACAAAATACCTGCCCTAGGCACCACCTGAACTAAGAGTAACACCCACCCCAGGCACTAAAAGACTAAGGGTCATAGTGTCCTAGGGCACCACCCAAACTAAGAGCACCACCCACTCTATAAAGCTATAATACGTTGCAACTCAAGAAGGTGGGGTGAGAAAAAGGAAGGTCGGGAAGGAGGAAGCTGACAGAATGCTGGAGAAGAGAGGGGGAAACCTCCTCCTCTCTCCAGTGTTCCGTCTGCTTCATCCTCTCCGGCCTTCCTTTCCCTCGCCCTACCTTCTTGAGTTGCAACGGACTATACTACATTTAAATGCGTGTGGCAGGATGACCAAACATGTTTTTTTTTATGTTACCACCTAAGCAAACATTGGTCATTGCATCCACACTGGGAGTGTGCCATTAAAAAAGATCAGCGGCATGAGCTGCCAGACTGCACCAGCAGATGATGCAGGTAGTCTCTTCTGCCGATGCTCACATGTGTTACACATACTATAACATGCGAGCACGAACCGCAGAGACTGCCCCCTGTACAGTGTACAGCAAAGTAGAAATTTGGGCTAGTTGGTTCATGATCAGTATAAACAGTGCCAAAAAAACGACAGGACGAAGACGAGAGTAAACAGGACGAGGCGTTCAGTGTACAGTGTACAGCAGCAAATTGCAGTGGCATCTGCTCACGCCTGCTGGCAGAGAAAGAACAGTAGTGGCTGTAACCTTACCCTGCCCTCCTTCAGTGTTTCCCTCAGTTCGGCCATTGTTATCTTGCGTTCGGAGACTTTGAACTCATTCTGAAACAGAAAACGAACCAGAGCTAAGACCACCAAGCTGAATTCGATCAAGCTAGTCCCTATAAATCTACAAGGGATGATTCAATCTTTTTGTTGCTTTTTGGTTTTGAAGTTATCAGTAATGTCACATCTGCGACACATGTGGAGATCCCCATCATGTGTGTCTCGCTAAAATCAGGACTGCAGCCATTAAAATCAAGGCTGGTTCCCACATTTGCATTTGACTGTGATCGATTGCCCTATGACTGCTTGTGGCGGCTTATGACAAGATACCGCACACGCGCTGTCAATCTGATAACCTTGCAACACTTCCGATCTGTTTAGATCTTTTAGCATTATTCTTTCACCACGAGCTCGAAATAATTCGGAAGAAGTTATGAGAAACCATTTCTCGTAGCTAGCAGTAATATTTGACTTTGCAAATACCTCAAAACCGTCAGCCTAGTTACACATAGATCGAAAGGGTTTCATCACAAGTGGTAGTGGTACACTCGATTGCAGTCAAATGCAAATCTATAAACCAACCTTTGCTTGCGTGGACTGTAACGCAGTGAAGAATGTTACCCGAAGCGAGATTGCTTCTTCCCATCGTGGTGACACTACATTTCACTTGCATATTGACGCAAGCAGGTCAACTCAAGAAGACACCTAGGATGACCGGGGCCATAGATACGCTTTGAGAAAGTTTTTTCACCAAGGCTGTGGGTCGGCAGTTAGACAACTATCGTACATGTCAGGGGCTCTCAAGCTATTCATCTCCAGAAACCCCCATCTGGTTTGAATGACAGCCAAGAAACTCCCGCACTGCTCTGTTGCATCAATGTAAAGACTGGGAGAAGGTCACAGAGCTTGCAAAACAAAAATGTGCACATGAGGGAATGTTTGGTTCATAGCCATGCATCAATTGTCCCTTCCACTAAGCAACACTTTGCTTAGGGGAAGAGATGGAGATTTGGAAACTCTGGGAACCCATTGCGGTACGCTGGGGAACCCCTGGGTTCCTAGGAACACAGGAGTTTGGGGAACCCTTGGAGGTACTATGGGAAACCTCTGGACTCCTACGAACACAGGGGTTCCCCAGAGTACCTCCTAGGGCTCCCCGAGCACCGAAATTTCCTTAAAAGCCCCCAGTCCCCAAATATGTGTTATTTTTCACTTTAAGCCATATTTTAGCAGATCCGAGCCACCCATCGATGCACAACTATGAGCCAGAAGCTTTCTGGTATGTTTATTGTTCTTTACAAGGTTTGTGTGCTTCTGCACTGCTTTATCTTGTCACTTTTAAGATCCTCAGCTGCTATTCAAGTGGATAAGGGTTCCTTGAGATCAAAAAGTTTGGAACCTCTGTCCTCTGCTATTACTTCCATGGTTCTGACATCAAACACTTTCAAAAGAGGCCATTAACTACTGAGAGCAATCGGCGCTGATGTTTCTTGGAAAGCTTTCCATTCCACCAGAGGCCAAAAACAGGAACTGACCCATTCCCTCGTGAGGTCCAGGATGCTCATCCGCGTGACGCCGGGGAGGATGATCCCAGAAAGAGGTGGCGTGACCAGTTCAGTCTCTGGAAAGGGAGTTGCAACGTTTGCGTACGGTCAATAAACCAGTGAAACATTAAATCCGACTCGCACATCCCTTTGTTACCATTTATGATCAAGAACTCTGGAACCCTTTTCAGTCAGCCTACGTAATCTCCTTCTTGAAGAAAACGGGCCAAGAACTTCTAACCACTAACTTTCCCTATAGACCGACACACTGTTTACAAACAAGCCCGCATTTGCCCACACCAGGTGTGGGCACTGCACGAGCAAAGAAACCAGATTTGCGTGAGGTGAAGCCTCTGCGCATACGCCGTGGCGACAGCACCGCCACCGCAGAGGCGTGACGTCAGAGCCGCATGTTGGTCTGTAAGGGCCATGATATACACGTTAACAAATGTGGTGTCAGGGGGCCGCCATCTTGTTCAGTTGGGGTGCACTTGGACGCGTCATAATCCGATTTGATGCCTTTGGCAAGGTGTCATACTCAGATTATGATGCGCCCAAGCGCACCCGAACTGAGCAAGGGGGCAGCGCCATGCGGCCGCACTTGCAGAAGTGTATACACAAACTCAGTACTGATAAGTCGTGGCGCGGTGGTGGCGAGTTGAGCGCACTTCCAGTCTGTGGCTGTGGGGGGAAATCACCCTGCGGGACGTGCATTCCTGTGTCGTTTTTAAAGAAACCGGACAAAAACCTGCCTTCTCATAAAAACGCCGTGACTGGGGCTGTACCAAAAGAGTCGGGAAAAGTTTGAAGGTCAGTTTTCAAGTGTTTTCTGACTACTCGGCTCGTTCGAGAATGTTTATAGGTGCCGTGAAAAATAACAACCAGACACTGTCGGACCACGATTGCTTGTGCGGGAAGAACTTTGGGTTGAATTCACGGATACTTGCGGTCGTCCGATTTATCTGTTTTGTTCCAACATGAACGCGGGAAAACAACCGAGTTGTACGGACCATCTGTGGACTATGTTCAGCGCATCAAGTTCAAATGGCTGTCTGATCATTCGAACCGTCTGCTCTTTCAAACGTTTCTGCTTGTTGTCCGCTCATTCAAATGACAGCGGCCCATAGACCAAACATTGACCCGGTAACTGCGATAAGAAGTAAGTGCAGGCCTCAAAAGACTTAAGTTTGAAAGTGGGTTGGGGTAAGTAGGCTCGGTGTAAACAAAAGATAAAAGAGAGATGCTGATACGTTTTTACCAGTGGCCATCACCGACTTCTTATGCCCGATTCACTTGGTTCAATTCTGCTTGCGATTTTCAGTATTGATTTCAGCACCTCAGCTACAATCCACGCCTTTACAGCACGAGCAACGTCGCGACTGAAAATAGCAAGCAGAATCTCTTCATGCGAATCAGGCTTTAGCGCCCATTCTGCAGCGTCCACGCGGAATGAATCGTCACGTGTCACATTATTCCCGCATTGTTTTGCGGTGTAACGAGCCTCGTTAATTTCGCTGAGGCTGCTAAAGTAATCAGATATCGCCAAGAACACGTGGAGTCAACAATTTTAACACGAAGAAGAGCACGGGGACTCGCGCTGATGCCAACAACATCACCTTCCAATGGTTTGTTTTCGGGCGACGATAAACTTCTTGCCCCCCCCCCCCCCCCTTGTCGCGCATGCACGGCACCGGTGGCGTTTGCTAGGGGTGCTCCTGTTTATCTGTAAACATGAGTTGGTCCATAGCGCAACCACCCCCCCTAATCTGGTTTCAATGAATCGCTTAGCCATATTTCACATTTTTTAACACATTATATTTTTTTATTGTGGGCTCGAAATAATTACGACAATGTTATAGGAAACCATTTCCCATTGATAGTGCATAGATTTGATCTCACAAATACTGCAAAAACTTGAGTCTAGTTATAAGTACACAGTTCCAGGGCCTCCTGATAGACGACACCAGTCTGCCAATGTGTTATCTTGTTGTAAACGGTCATAAGTGAATGCGATGCAATGAGGCGCAATCAAGGAGCAAATGTGTGAATCGGCCTCAAGTACGAACCGACTGCATGAAGAGGTTGTAATAGGCAGCTCACCCCCAGCCTTGTTCTTAAGCAGGATCATGACGTTCATGGCACCCACTTCGGTGATCTGCTCGTCTTCACCAAAGAGCCAGAGGACTTGTTGAAGCTTCTGCCTTTCGGCCTCCTGTTGCACCATTAGTGTGGGAGCGTAGTTGCTGCATTGGAACCATTCGGGCATGCTCGTCAACTAGTAGTTTTATCTATATGAAGCTATACGCCACTTTACAGCAGAAGAGAAATCAAATCAATCAAAGTCGGAGGTTTGATGTGACACGCCCCAGCGGACGGGGCTAAGAATGAATTTAAATTACCCGGAAATCTGACATGCAACCTGTTTACACGGCTCCTCCTCCTCCGCAACAGACCGAACTCGCTGGCCAGTTGACTAAGCTACCGCTGCCGCAATGCATAGAGGAGGCTTTGGTCTTTCTGCACTTGCAACAAGGCCAGCGAGGTTGTTGCGCGTGCAAAGTGCGAGGCGGCACGGGTCGTCTCAGGCACCACCGCCTGCCACCCGTGGAATAAAGTTGTGGTGGCATCATGCGTGCGCCGAACGCTTGGCGAGATCGGTGTATTAACCTCCACCGGGTTACGAATACCTTGACCGGAATTCGAATACACCACCTGGGGATCTGCAGGCCCGACGCTGTACCTCGGAGCCATCGAGGCGACTTTGCCAGAAATGTTTACACACTTTAGGGCATGGTCAAAGTCTCCAAATCTGATGCTTATGCACATCTGGGCTGCTTGAACTTATAGAGGGCTCATCATCTTAAAGAATCGGACTAGCATATTCTTGACTGCCAACAATCCTTTCAGCATGTATTGTAAAACGTGCAGCACGCCGTTGACATCCAATGATCCTTAAGTAGTTCACTGTATAGCACGTAACTTTTTCAACCAATTTTAACACGAAATATAGTCTGCCGATCACTCCCAGAATGTGTGCACTCTGCATGCGAGTAAACACAGCAACAACCGGTTCTAGGACAATGTTGTAGAAGTAATGCATTTTACCGCACTGTTTCACAAAAATAGAAAGAAGAGGCTGAGAGAAAATTTGGTAAATTATCATTACATAGTCTTACAATATGGTATTCCAACTAAAAAAAGACAGCATCAACGCGGAGCGCAAGTTCGTCTGCTTCCCACACAGGGGTTGCGATGATATCAGAACACTGAGCTCTTATTGGCCGACTGAAAAAATAGGGGGTAGACCCCAAGGCATCTAGCATTGAGGTCTACCCACTATCCTTTCAATTAGAGCCAATCAGAGCTCGGCGTCATTCTGACGTTGCAGCAACTCCTGAGCAAGAAGCAGACGACTTGCTCTCCGCATTACTTTCCTTACAATTTCTATTAGCTTCTGTCCATTTATAGCAGTACTGGTGCTCACATCGTTTAAAGTGTTTGTCAACGATCAAGGACTGCTGTCTGACAGGAAGCAGGTGACACAAGGCCCCACGGCCAGCTTATCTTTCTTTGCTTTTGCTGCTGGCAGGATTCCTTGCATGTTGCTTTCCTCCAGAGATAAGCAGTTCGATAAAGTCAGCGACCAATGAACTCAGTACCCAAAACCCCTCGAAGCAAAAGTATGAGCAAAACTATGAGCATCTGTCGCAGCTGAGCATTTGGCTCTGCTGCGTCATTTTAACCCGGACGACCGTTTCAATCTGGATGTGTGTCCTACCGGTACGCAGTCAAGTGTCACTACCGCGTGATGCACATTAAAGACCCCAGGCTAGCAATCGCATTGCACCGGCTAAATATCTCGTCTACAGTGGACACACCGGACGCCCACTGGGGGCCAACTAACTTCCACACCGTATAAATATACACGCAACACAACTGATTACATGCTTATAAGTGGCACGACAGCATCTGGCGAGCAGTCACTCACCAGCCGAGCTTGCTGTCCCCAGTACCGCCGGGCCATGCCCTGACGTATTTGGGGTCGGCCAGGAGTGAGACCGGCTTCATGCCCGTGCTGTAGTAGGGACCCACGGGGCCCGTGAGGACGAACAGCATGGCTTCATTTGACTTGGCCACGCCCAACGACGGCTGTGGGACGCAGAAAGAAAGGCGCAAAAACTGCATGATGGGGCGTTCGAGGGACCATTGCTCAAAATGAGATTGATTGGGCTCATCCAAGAGAGTCTCGATGTCGTCTCCGATTCCCTACATGTGTCATGTGTCCAAGACGATTTAATCTATTTGATGACTGGTCATGGTAGCAAAGTAAAATTAAGAAGTACCAGCACTTGCCTATACTCCTTTTTTTTTTTTGTTCTTTCCTTCATAGTGTTCTTGAGCATTGACTATACACTAGATACTTTCATTTTATTTTTACTATTGCTCTAAGCACATTCTTCTTCACCAAAAGTGTATTTTAAAAATATCAAGTAGGAATAAGAATGCGATCAGCTACTGGCAGCTTAATTGTCACTGTGTTTTTGTTAAGCGTCGTAAAACGCAAGTGCGTCTTGCCGTATTCTCAAAAATACTTTACATGGGGATGACAAATTTTTGTCTTCCCTATAAATGTTGAGATTATGTTGCTCATGGTCAGTACTGGCATCTTGGGAATGGATATCAGAGTCAGTCCCACTGAAATGCTTCTCACCCACATAATTTCATAGATAAGCCTTCAACCTCTTATGTGCCAAGTTCCTATCATAGGCAGCCGTGTAGACAAACCCCTCAGGAGGGTTTCCTTGACCGTTACCATTCACTGGGCCTAGCCTGGTTAGCACTTTTAAAGAGCAGCAAATTTCAGTTCAAACAAACCGACCTCGACGTTTAGAGAACATATTGAGTGATCCCCAAACCTTGAGTCCTATAATCAGTGACAAGTTTAGAATTTAGTGATAAATTCCCCTCAAAGGAGTTTGTATCACTCTGCCATCTAACAAACCTGTGAAGCCATTGACATTGCGACGTTAGGAGCAAACTTTGTACAATATGGCAGCTCATACTGCTAGCAACAAATCCAGCAATGAATGCCGTCCACTCAAATTTTTTCACTCTTTACCTAGACAGGTTTACGTCGCAACGTTGTGCTGGTATCCACTTGGGTATGCAGTAATTTATGCGCGACAATGTAAGAATGCAACGGAAGTGTCGAATGTGCACGCCCGCTGCAGCAATTAGGCATGGCCGCTACCGAGGTGCATCGGCCGATGCAGTCTGCTTCTTCTTGTTCCGTTTTCTGCTATAGTCGGTTGCAAGTCAAGAAGGTAGCGGCAAATGCCCCTCAAAGGGATTCATATATCCCTCCGCCACCTCCGCATCCAATAGCGTCCCACCGTTTCCTTGACGTCGCGGCCAACGCGCGAGGAGGGTCTTGCCTTTCTGTACATATTTGCTTTATTTTTCGACTTTGACTTAGCATTGTGGAAGCCACGAGAGGGAGATTAGAGTTCTCCCCCACCGACGGAAACAAATACGACTTTCGGGGATTAGCTTCCCCCTCCGATGGATACAAAGGCTGCTTTCAGGGGCTCGGTTCCCTCTCCAATGAATACAAAGGTCGTTTTCTTAAAAAGTGGGATCGGAGACAAGTGGGAATCCATTGAAGCGGAACAAGGAGCATTTCCAGTGAACTCTTCTTTCGACTGCGGAGAGATCTGAAACGGGCGCATCACACATGTGGGAGGAGCTTCTCCTACCTTCTTGACTTGTAACCGACTATAGCCCGTCTCAGGTTGCAAAGCGGTGGCAGTATCGGCTTTTCTTTACAAAGATTTTCGTTGAGCAATGTAGAGGTGTTGTGGTCATCACTATTGAAGTAATTTGCGAGATCTGCTGGAGTGAAACCACCATTCCCAAGTCAAGCTCTTGGGCCGGACTGTCTGCTTCTTATAAAGTTCATGAATGAAGGCAATCCACTAAAAAGACGCCTTCAGAGAGGTGCTTAGCTAGACTGAAATATGGCACCCTTGCCAGGCCTCGTCATCGCAGAGAGTTGACGCTAGTGCAGCTAACCTTATTGAACCGTGCACGCCAATGGTGAACAAAGTTGTTGTCGTGCACTGCCATCAATCTCGCCGAGGCAGAAAATCTTCTATCCATCTTTTCTGTGTTGTGATGTCAAGCTACCACATGATGACGTCATCCCATTTAATTAGCAGTGAGCATCACTTCCTTAATTCAAACGTAACGCCATTATGACGGAGCAGATGTTGCGCTCTTTTCTTGATGAAGGGTGCATAATGCTTGTGGGTGGAGATTTCTTGTAGTATGATTTGTCAGTGACTATAACATTACCTAGATTAGTAGTAGGAGAGTAGTATTTTTAATAAGAAATCAACACTGTGAACGGCTTTATTTTCTCAAGCTTAATATTTTGTAAACTTCGCGAAGTGTGGATTAAGTGAACAATTTGTGGGCACAATAATTTGTGGTTGGGAGTGGTATGCTGTGGATTCTTTATCATATGGCAATATATTTGCGTGATCAATTTTTCACGATACTCTCGAAGTCACGAAAAGTGACAAATTGTTTACAGTACTACCCCCACTAAATATATTCTTTGAATCCCCAACCTCTACTCTTTCCAGCATGGCATTTCATATTACCGACTTCAAAATAGTTCTTGTGAAATTGGAAAGCAAAGCATGCTGACTCTGCAGAAGAGGCTCTAGTAACTCATCATTGGAATGCTGTGGTGTTTTGTGTGTTTTTGAAGATTAACAGGTGTATATATCATCTTGTCTTGAAGTAGTTTCATGAAATAAGTATCTTTTATCTTGAAATATTGTCTCAGAACCATAGTGAAATAGGTCTGTGCGTGTCTTTTGCTATTATTTCAGAGTGAACTACCTATTTGATCACTTTGCTACTTTAGAGAAGCCATATTTTCAGTAGTAATGTAGAGAGCTGAGCTAGCTCCTACTTAGAAGACATACTAAAACAGCGCACAAGCACAGGAGGAAGACAGGAAAGAGTGCTGACTCCCAACTTGTGTATTGTGAAAGAAAGAGAAAGAGGAAGCTTCAGACATGAAGACCACGTGCACCCATTAGGTAAAAAGAAAGAAGAGAAACTATGTATTTGTTTTTCTTCTTTCTACCTTGTGGGGGCACGTGGGCTTCATGTCTGAAGCTTCCTCTTTCTCTTTCTTTCACAATACACAAGTTGGGAGTCAGCACTCTTTCCTGTCTTCCTCCTGTGCTTGTGTGCAGAACCCAGGGGTCCTGGGTTCGAGCCCCACCCCTGCCCGTTTCGATCTGGATGAGCATCGTACCGGCGTGCGGTCGTGTATCACTACTGCGTGATGCACGTTAAAGACCCCAGGCTAGCAGCTGTACCGCACTGGCTAAATTGCTCATCTACAGCTGGGAGACTCGTCGCCCCTCTGAGGCAGACCAAGTTCTAGGCTGTATAAACACACACACAACCCAATTATTATTCCTGTGCTTGTGCGCTGTTTTAGGTTGCCTTATCTCTACTCGCACATGTCCAAGCTTCATCATTTTTCTTTTTTTTTTCTGGTAGGGGTTTATGCAAGGTACGGGGTATAAATGTTAAACATAGCATTAGGTTTTTCAAGATGCCTTTTATACCTTCAACAATAAATAATTTTGAAACTGGAAGGTTAGAAAGTGTAATGAAAAACCTAGAAATCATCCTAGCGCTTTCATTTATACCTACCGTAAAAAACCGGGCAAGCGCCCACTCAAACTTTGGAGATAATCGCAAAAAAATGGGGGATGGGCGCTTGTCCGATCATGAATTTTACATATAAAACGACTGCACGTATTTCCTCAGGTCTCACAAATTTGGTAATGGGCGCTTAATGTGGAATGGGCGGATGCGTGGTATTTTACGGTAATTAGATTCCACAGACCTTTCAATTTACCGAGATACGTTTATTTTCAGACTTCACTATTTCAATTTATTGTAATCATTCCCATTATATTTGAAAATTAAATATTATATTATTAAGCAAACTACACTTGGGCTACATCAAATCCAAACAGATACTTGTAGTCCAATTGTAAAAGCAGATAAGCTATGTAAATTTCATTCAAACTGGATCACAAGTTATATCGCAAGTTTTATGCACAAGCAGGATACTGCTTTTGTAGGCCAACATTATTTATATGTATTTGTAAAGTGAATAAAAAACATTATTCTTATTATTATTATAAAAATATTATACAAGCTTGATTATACTGACAAAGTAAGCACAAAATGTGCCTACCAGACCTTGCTAGTATAATCAAGGCCTCTCGCACGAGAAGCTCGGAAGGCTTCTCATATGCGAGAGGCCTTCCGGGCAAGCAGACAAGGACATCTGAACGGCACTGCCTACCAAAGCTTGGCTCTCATTTTCGACAGGAAAGGCTGCGAAGCATGTGACTGCGCCTCCACGCACCGCACGATGAGCTCGCTTTTGCGCGGTCTGTACTACCGACGCCTGGATAGCTCAGTCGGCACAGTGCTTTGCTCACAATCTGGAGGTGGTGACTTCAAATCCTGCCGGGGACTGAAGTTTTTTATATGGTTCCATATGGGCACAGCACTTTTCGGTGTCCATTTCTTGTTACAACCGGCCACTGCAGGGGCCTATACAGTCAAACGTTACAAAAAAATCGGATGATAAAATACACACTGTGTTAAAAAATTGTAGAGTCCTTCCACTTCACGTGAAGATGAAGGACCAGGGAAGCTGTTATCTTCACAACGTCTAGGACGATGCCTAGAGGACAACGCCTAGAGGATGACGTCTAGGACAACCTCAAGGACGACTTCTAGGATGAAATCAAGGACGACTTCCAGGACGATGCCTAGGACGACCTTGAGGACGACACCTAGGACGATCTCAAGGACGACTCCTAGGACGAAGCCTAGAGGACAACCTCAAGGACGACATCGAGGACGACTTCTAGGACAACCTCGAGGATGTCTAGGACGACCTCTCGGACGAGGCCTAGAGATGATAACAAGGGATCAGGACCTCACTATTTAATAATGCCAAGGAAGGCTGACTCACTTTGTTTTTTTATTTATTCATACTTGGCACGACCAATGGGGAGTTTTTTTAACAAAATGTAAGGGCGCAAACGAGCTGGTGTACATTGCACATGGTCGAAAAAATCCCGAGACTGCGGGTAAATGACACAACACTAAAAAGTGTAAGGCCACATTTTTCCGCAGACCCTAGTGTATAACAGCTTCGCTGTAAAAGCTCTAGGAGCACTATTGCCCCTTAAAACAAATGTAACTGAAACTAAAAAAAAGAAAATTTTGACCTAAAATTATTCACTGAATGTAGTATGACTTGTCCGAGACTGCAAAGGGGCTAAATGTGGCTCAGTTGTTCATGTCAAATAATTTATAGCCAGTTTGGCAAAACGTGTAACACTAAGCTTAAAAGGAACCCATTGCAGAGCACACAAATCTCCTTGACTGGAAAAAAAGCGCAGCATAACTTTTCTCTAACACACCGCATCTTCTAGTCTACAAGTCGCATCTCCTGTAAACATCTGATCGGCCAGCGCAGCGAAACTGTGCCGAAAAGGCCGCACATGTGTGTTACGATCACAATGTATGCACTAGCAAGAGCAAGTTTCAATATTCTCCTCAACGGATCAAACAAGAAATCTAACTGCCATGGTAAATTTTCACAGTTAGGGTCCATGCTCGGAGAAACAAAGCATATAAAGTCGCACCATTGTACGAGATGCGCCAAAAAATATGGTGGTTTTAGAAATGAGCCATGCCACGGGAGACCAAATCAGCGTGTGGGAAGAGGGCGCATACCTCGACGCCGATGAAGGTGGGACGAATGTAGAGGGAACTCATGGGGTACTTGGGCACCCAGTCCTTCTCTATACTTATCAGCTTCATCAGGCATTTCAGGAACTCCTCGGAATGAAATTTCTGTTGCAACAAAAATAGAAATATAAAAAAGAGAGATCACAGATGGTACTAGATTATAGTAAAATAGCAGAGAGGTCTATTTTCATGACTGGCTCAAAACAATAAAAAAGTACCCTTCATTTTTTTTCCCCCCCCCGAACAAACAGGTGTTTGTAGATTTGTTTAGTGGAAACGCCAAAGGAAAGCAGCTGCAACATTCAGTATGGGACATTTTAGACACGTAGTGATTAGTAGTTTCTGCTGAATGTGTTACTAGAACTAATGGCTGCTAATAATCCTGCTAAAAGTCGCTAAATCTCCTGGAGGTAGCATGGCAAATTTTGGGCTGACAAATGCAGCTTAAAACACTGCACACTAAAAATGATCTTCCTTAAATTGCCTGAATAGGCCATATGTGCGTAAAAAAATGAATTTTCATTGGAAAAAAAAGGAATTATTTAATGTAATTACATGGTACATACAAATGGCCGTACCTCTCCTCCACACCCTTGCAGCCAGTGAAATTGAAATAAAGGGCACTTTTGAACTGGAGCATGTAACAAACAGACGAAATTGCTCCAAACTCAAAATGTGTCTCCCTGCATAAATATGGCATTAAATTTAAGTGCTCTTTTTCTTTTCCCTCAGGGGGTGCAACTGAATTTTAAATGTGGTCTGTTCAGACAATAAAAAGAAAAGTTTCTTCCAAGTGCAGTGCCTGTTTAATAGTTGGTTGCTTGTATTTTAATGTGCTACGCAGGTGCTTGCTTCAGTCAGCTATGCTAATACAGTTTAGCACAACTGCCACCAGCACACTTGGTCGAAAGTTTCAGATTAGCCACTCCCCACTGTAAGCCTTGCCATGTTCATAGGCATACACCTAGCTTGTGAGTGAGAATGAATAACAGCTGCATGCGGGGATGCACGGAAGAGTCCTTCAAAGAAGCTGAATACAATGGTGTCATTTTTACGCAATCTCTGTGGTGGCAGCTTGCAGTGCCTGCATGCGGAAGTATAGAAGTTTAGAGACTCAGTGAAAATTGGTTGCCAATGTTTAATGATGAGCCGGATACTGATAAGCATACTTAGTCAGCTAGCCTACACCGATCCCTCCACTGGCCACAGTAAAAGCAATCATTACTCCTTCAAGTTAGTAATTTTATAAATATGTGACAATAACGGAAAATTATCATTGAAACAATTTTAGGTATGAGGTAAACAAAAGGAGCATCAATAGCATATAAAATTATTAATGATTCCTAAGGTACTAGCCACTCAGTGTGAAATGGAAAGGGAACTCCATCCCTTCATTATTTCACAGTTTTGCAGAGCCTCATTTATCATTCATTCACGCGGTAAGGAGTATGCAAGAGAATCGGTAATCATTGTATAACGTCCATTGTTCTCATTTTTCTTATTTTGTGGCTTGCTTTGCTTATATGTGTTTATGTGAAATAATGGACTTTTGTTGGCTGCCTGGACCCACATACAAGCAACTACGCTTGAGCGGTTCAGCGCACTTGTTTATGTTTTTGCTGAATTATTATTATTATTATTATTATTATTATTATTATTATTAGTATTAGTAATAGTAACACCAAGAGCAAATTCACATGCAAAATTAGAAGCAACTTCTCTCCCAATCATCCCTTGTCCACAAAAATATTTTAATGTGAAACCCTGAGCTGGCATTGATTGTAAGATCCCTCAAGCTCCCATAGGATCTGCCAGATGACCATTCCAAAGCTTCATATTAGGAACCCATTGCAAATGAGCCACCGCAAAAAGAGCTAGTTGCCATGAAACTGATTATGCAGCAGGGGTGACGCAAACTTACAGGTAATCCCAGCCTGTCAGCCGAGTTGAGGAGGCGGCGAACGTTTGCATCGGGCCTGAAGAGCCGCACCTTGTCGTCCTGTCCGCGGTAAGCCTTCATTCCTTCGAACAGCTGCACAAAAAAGGAGGAAAAGTACCAGTTCGTAATGCGTGCTACACTCGAGCAACTGTGCCACAAACTTATGGCTGATTCGCACATTTGTACTTGAGTGTGATGAAACACGTTGCAACTGTTTGTAATTGCTTACGACCAGAACACTGGAACACTTCCAATCTATGTATAACTAGATGGAAGGTTTTGCAGCATTTGTGCCCTACACACCGTATATAAGAAATTATCGCTTATAATGGGGGCCTCCAAACCCTGGCTTGCAGCTGGCCGCAGTCCTTTTAAAGAAGTCCGCCCACTTCCAACAGACCTGCTGCTAACTGCGCAAAACGAAGTATGCCTAAAAAAACGCAGCCTTGACATGCTTCAAATGCGCAAAAGATACCAAAAAGAAAGAGAGAAACTGCATCGTAACGGGGTCCTCTCGCCATGACTGAACATTGTAATCACCAGCATCGCCATTCTTAGTACCCGGCTTCATGTCCGCGTAACTATGTCGAAATTCTTCTGCGTTTTCGTGTGCGTCGTGTCAGCATTAGTTTTATCATTTTCATTTGTCTTTTGCACAACGCGAATGTACCGAAGTTTCCGTGCGCTTTGATTTATGCTTGGCGAGTTTTCGTGGTTACGCAATGTCCTAATTAGCTAAATATTAAATTTAAAATTCAAATATATGCACTCATTCAACTAGGGTTGTTTTTTGAGTACTTATAACATTCATTTCTGAGTTTAAATTCTTACCAACGCCTATTTGTTTAGTTTTTCTTTGTTTATAATTGCTCTTCTCCTATCCGGTTCACAACATTGTCGGAATTACGTCAAGCAGACAGTGGAAGTATGATGCATAAAATATAAGCATATTGGAAGTAGGGATGCCGCGAACTTTTTTCGAATCGAAGTTTCGATGATCGAATCAAGCGGTTCGAAAGGTTCGAATGATTTCGATTTTTCTAATTGTCTATATCGTAAAATTCGACGGAGGTCGAATTTTCGAACTTGTTAAGCTAAGAAGTTCGACGCTTTTCGAACCGTCGAACTTGTTACGCTAAAAAATTCGATCTTTTTCGAACTTTCGAATTTATTGCGCTGCAAGGTTCGATGCTTGTCGAACTTTCAAACTTGACTGACCAAAAAATTCGATGAATTTCGAACTTTCGAACTTATTTATCAAGAGAATTCGAAAAGTTTCGAACTTTCGAACTCTGAAAAGTCAGAAGTTCGACGAACTTCGAACTTTTAGGGTAAAAGTTTGACATTCGTCGAACTTCGAAAGACCGGCGGACGGTTTCATTTGATTTCAAGTAGTGGGGTACATCCGTAATTTTTTTTTCTCGAACTTTTACACGCGGTGCTGCGTTCCTTACGAAAGACAATGTCGTTTATTTCAATGTTCTGGCATGCTTAGGTTTAAAGAAATAAATCCCCGAAGGGGCGAGGAAGGACGAAGGGTTTTTGACGATTATCGTTTGTGCCAGATTTGAAGCACGCTGCAGCCGGAGCTATTCATGGTAGATAAGTTATACTTTTTTAAGAATGATCTATAGCCTAGGTAAGTGCCGTTTTAAGATGTGATTATTGTTATTCAACGTGAGTTTCGAAGAAATGTCCAAACATGTATCTGCATGCAATTATGACCTAAACTTGATATTTATTTTCGTCTAAGTTGTTTGAGGTATCGCATTTAAATTAACACCACAGACAGTACATATCATTGCCATCTGCAGAATACAAAATAATATATTTATTGTTTTTTCACGTTAAAGGGGCACTGACACATCAAAATCATATTTTTTTTTATTATCCGAAATGATTGAAAACGATGCCGGGACATTACCCTCAAAATTTGAAATTTGGGAGTTCAGTATTTGTGAAGTAAAAAAACAATTTCCAAATGCCGAATTCGAAGTTCCCGCGCGATCGGCGCCGGTGCCTTGACGTCAAAAATCGCGGAGACCTGAGAGTCGACTTTCTTTCACCACTCCCTGCTGTTGCCATGACGACCCAAAGCGAGGAGGAAAGGAGTGAGCGGCGGCGTTACGGCGGACCGGTTTTGAGCGGTGTCGCCTGTTTTCCGTTGGAGGATACAAATCCAGGAGACGGCACCACAACGAACTCCCGATTTTTGGTATTTCAAAAAGAAGGGCCGTAGTGCGTTCGCAATTGCGTTAAAAAACATGTTTTACGATTGCCGTAATTAAATGTTATAGAGATGTCGCCTACAAAGCTTCTAAATTTCCTGATTTTTGACGTCACCGATCAAAAGAAGCGAGGAGGCGAGAGGCGGGAAAATCAAACGCCAAAAATAAAAAGGCGAGCGCGCGCGCAAAAAAATTTTTTTTCGCGATGCGGTTTTTTTTGCGTGTCTATGACTGCAACTTGCATCGTTTTAGACAATAAAAATAAATACGACCTTTGGGGTGTCAGTGCCCCTTTAAGGAATAAATTAACTCATGGGAGAAGATTTCTAGTAGTGTTCAAGTTCAGCACGTCATTAAAGGAAAACTTTTTTTTTTTTTTTTCGCTTCACGTTTTTGGGACGTGTTTCTTTTAGCCTGTACACACTTTGGTAAAAGAAACTTGTTTCGAAGTTCTGAACCTCTGAATATGCAAGAATAGAACACTTCCGACGAATTCTTGATAGTTTTTTGTTTCTCCTGCTTTTTATTCCCGCATTTATTCTTTTTTTTTTTTCTTTTGTTACTATCGGCACAGGTGTTTCGGTCGAAAAGACAGCTTTGAACTTCCGAACCACTAAGCATGTGACGAGCAGTGCCTTCTGACAACGAGTTTCTAACAATGACCATCTACGCAAACTTTTATGCAGTGAAGAGCGACATTAGCTATACATATGCATAAATAATTTCAGATTAAAATAAGCTCGACCACGCCCTCTTTCCCCGTATTGTTTTCTTTAACAGTCCGAAATACCTGCAAGGAAAAAAAGAAGGCTGAAACCCCCCCCCCCCCCCCGCTACCCTCTTTCCCCCCGTTTTTCCTCTTCCGACGCCACTTGTATGGTAGAACGCTCCTTGACCTCGAGTTGTGTCGGCTTTTGTGCTTTTTGCGAGGCGATTCCTCCGTCCCAGAAAATAAACCTCCAGGACAATTATAAACTTCACCGGATCGCATTACTACCAGCGTGCAAGGGGTGGCGAGCTAGTTTGCCAGGGCGCTTCACGGTTTTTCTGAGCCTCAACCTCCTGCTCGCCCCTGGCCGTTTCGAACTGGAAGAGTCTCGTAAAACAGTGTGTTCGTGCAATCACTACTGCTTGATGCAGGTTAAAGACCCCCCCCCCCCACAAGGCTGGCGGTCCAATTCTGCACTGGCAAATATTCTAGCACATCCGGGACACTCGTCGTCTCATTTAATTGCCTGACCAACTTCGCAGAATCTAGATATCAAACCCTAACTTTTCTAAACTTGATTTTGTGAAAACCAGTGAGTCGTGAAAACGTTATTTGAAACTGAAACTGTGGAAAAACTTGAAAATCGGACTTCGAACTTTGAAAACTTGGATTAGAAAGTAATTCAAAATCTTCGAATTTTTTTTTTTTTTTTGAATTTAGCGTTAAAAGTGAATCGAAACCTTCGAACTTTTCTAACTTTATGAAAAAAGAAATTCGAAATCTTCGAATTGTTCGAACTTCATGTCTATAAAAATTCGAAGCGTTCGAAGTTTTCGAATTTTTTTTACAAAGAATTTCGAAATCTTCGAATTTATCGAACCTGAAGTAAAAAAATATTCGAAATATTCGAATTCGAAATTTTAGAAACCGTAAAAGCTTCGAACTTTTCGAATTCGAAACTCCGCTGTGGACAAAAGTTGCGAATTTTTCGAAATCGAACCTCGGTCGGTACGAAAATATCGAAATTTTTCGAAATCGAACCTCAGTTCGCTTCGCAAATATCGAAACCTTTCGAAATCGAACCTAGGGTGGCTCGCGACATCCCTAATTGGAAGTGTCCCAAAGCTACTTAATAGGCTGCACCAGTGAGATGAATCGTCGCAAACAGTTACGGGCAGTTGCAACGCAGTCGGTCACAGTCAAACGAGAATGAGTGCGCCAGCCTTCAAGGGGCACTCAAGTGGATTCTGATAATGTCCACTTATGGCAATAATTCGATCGATGGGCTCCGGAGATCCTGAAAAAGCACAAAATTACACTCGTAAGCTGCTGATTCCCTATCAAAAAATCTAATAAAAGATTGTGACACGCCCCTCTTTCCATGCTTTGAAGCAGGCACCAGAGGGGCACCATCAGAGGGTGTTTTCAAACAATCATTGTTGTATTACGTCTCCTACACCCAAAGATACGTTTTTGTCAAAATATAATGCACGACGGGTCTAAAAGGGCATAAACAGTAACGTTTAAAATCCATCTCACTTAAGTTGGTTTTGTTGGCACTGGTATATATATTGAGTGACAACGAAAATAAAGTTCAGTTGTAAGTAGCGCTGTGTCTGTGTCTTCCTTTCTGTCCGTTGTCCTGTTGCACTTTTACTCCACCCTCGTGGATTGAAAGACTAACTGGCAGATCTTCGGCAAAGCGTAACTTGACAAACACACCGCTAAAGACAGTTCTTTCCAGCGCAGGGTCAGCAAGCGACAAAAGAAAAACAAACAAACCTCCTGGGCATAGTGGAACACCTTGGCTGCTGGATGAAGCACCAGGTCACGCACTTCCGCTATCTTCGGCTTGGACCAGCCCTTGCTGAGCGACCAGTCAATTCGCAGCATGTGATCGCTGAATTCCTTGCCAAACACGAGTGTTGACGGGTCTGGTTTCGGACGCCTCCGTGAGGCAGGAACGAGCTCCACATCGAGGTCACTGTACTGCAGCACATATTGTTTCGTGTTTGTCCGGTGCGACCATAAAAAGGCTCTCAGAGCTCAAAACTTTGTGAATCGTGATCAGGCCAAACACTATTTGGTCTTCACAAAAAAGGGCGATAAAGGTCAATCAGTAACAATGATATGAAACACAAAATTGGCTCAAACACAAAAAACGTACCGATTACCCAGTTGAAACCGGAGTAAAAGGCAATTTTTTAAAAGAATTTAAGCAAGCTTTAGAGGGGCACTAAAGTGCATTTTGAGATTCTCGTTTTTGACTGTCATAACTAAACCTACAAACTCTAAGCATCCTGAAAAACACGAAATTACATTCATGCATGGCTGATCTGCGCATTAAAAAGGTTATCAAACATCATGAAACTTACCACTGGCACAGAACAATAGAGGGCACTACCAACCTTGTTGAATATGGTCGAACGACGGACAACGCTTGTCAGCCACTCGCAAGCAATCGGTTCTCGCGTGGATAAGCGGGACTGGTCGGCCACTCGTCACGCGGGAACTGATTGCTTGCGAGTGGCTGACAACCTATGGCCAGTGCTCAGTGAACTTGTTTCTATGTTTTGTTTTTATTGTATAAAAGTTCTACTCGTGTGCTTCTTTGTATTGCCTCCCCCTTATGTAATGCCCCTGGCGAGGCCTTTAAGGGATAATAAATGAAATGAAAGTGCCGTCCGTCCTTCACCCATATTCAGTAAGGTTCGGTAGCGTCACTTGTCGTTCTGCACCAGTGGCAAGTTTTGGGATGTTTGATCATTTTTTTTTAATACGCAAATCGGCCACGCATGAATGTAATTTCATGTTTTTTAAGATACTTAGAGCTCATAGGTTTAATTATGACAATAAAGTGAGGATCTCGAAATGCTGTTTAGTGCCCTTTAAAGGAGCTGTGCAACGATTTTCACGCTGAAAGAATTGGCATCTTCTACTTTGACATTGTTCACCTTGTCACAAAGGACAGAAAACACACCCTCTTCCTTCGAAATATTGCGATTCTGCCGCGTAATTGCGAGGCAAAAATTAAGATATTCCCCGAGCTGCAGCCGCGAGCGGCGGCAGTGAGAAACACGCGGCGTGACGTAAATGGGGGTCTTATAGAAAGATAGCAAGTTGTGCGAATACCTGCTCGATAAAAGGTAACTTTTCTATAAATCTTGTCGCTCCAACATAAATACAAATGCGTGAAAAACATGGTATCATCGACAAAACTTTTATTATACGGAGTCTTAGTGGCGCCATCTATCCTAGGTCCACAAAACCATCAGCTCTATCTGCTACCGCGAACAGCCGCCAGAAGCCAGAGGGGGAGGGGGACAGGGCCGGACGGGTACGACCGGACCCGGATGAGACTTTCCTCCTTTCACCATATTGTTCGCGCTGCGTACGCCAGCAGGTGGTCACGCGGTCGCAAGCGGGTGAGTTCTCGCTGCTCACTGATGGCTCTAGAGAGCTTCACCAGAACCCCGCACAAACCCCATTGATGTCACAGCGCACGTGACTCGGAAGATGGTGAGGAAGTTGAGAGGTGCCAAAAACCTCAATCTTTATCCATTTTTTAAAATAAAAACTAGGACATGCAGGCAAAAGCGTTTTTTTTTTTTTTGCTTTACTCCAGAAAGGTTGAGACACCAACTCCCAAATCATTTAAGCAAAGCACTGAAGCTGCTGCACAGCTCCTTTAAGAGTTCAGAATTTTGGGGGCTTAGAAATGGGGGGCATGGTGTTCCCTTACCTTCAGAGAACATGCACATGGCCCCAATGCTTGAAAAACATTCCCAGTAGTAATAGAAGGGAACGAGATAAGAGGTACCGTTCTCTAAAATAAAAAGCAGCTTTGCAAGGCAGTTCAGTGGGGGCATGAGTTCCAGGTCAATACAAAGTAGCATAGATAAAGATTTTTTCCCGTAAAGCTTAGGTTTTTTTTGTATTCAAGGTAGAAGCTTTCCTTGAGTATGAAAAGCCCCAAATTAAAACAAATTAAGTTGTTTTTTTTTTTTGTTTTTTTTCTGATTTTGATAAACCCAATTAGAGGTTACTTTTGGGGGTTTATCGGTGTTTACCAAAAAATGCTGAACCCCAGTTATTAATGAAAAATTGTGACTGAGGTACGGTGTGCAATAAAAGCACACTCCACAGCTTGTAAATGAAGGGCTTGCAAATGAGGGACAGCTCTTTTGTTGATAGTCACCAGTTCACCACCCACATTTAGGGTACCATGATTGAATAGGCTATCGCAAGGGCCGGATTTCAGTTTCCGTTGAACATGATTTTCATGTCATCAGTCATTCCACTGTAGATGGATGGGTTGATGAATATGGCTGAACCCTTTTAATTAGGTGGTGGCTTGTGCCACCCAGCCAAAGATTCTTATCTCAACAACTACTGTATTTGCTCGAGCAATAGCTGCGCTGTTTACAAACGAAGCCGAAGGGTTTGCTTTCCCACGGGGCACATCGGAGCACAGGGATAGTGAACCACCGCGATCAGCAAAAAAATAACAGCGATTTTTGGGACAGAAATAATGTCTTCACATCAAAATACTACTCGCTCAGATGACAATTTTATGGAGAATCGTGTTCTGAACCTCGTTAAGTGCTGCAGTTTTAATGCAGAGCAACATTATTGGCTGTATGTGTGTTCTGCAGAAAAGTAGATGCAAAAGCCTTGTTCACAAGAAGTGCGGCTATTATTCCAGCAAGTATGGTAACTGTCGTCCAATTAAATTCCGGATGCAGTTCACATATGCTAAAAATAACTAGCACCATCTGGTGGAAAACTGGGCTCAAGGATTCCCAGGATGAAACAATGTGCACCATTAGGAAGGACAGAGAAGCAGCATCCTTGAATGAGCTTGGGGACAAAAGATTAGCCAGAATAGGCACAATCTAGCTCAATCCAGGTCACTGCAGCACAATAGAGCCGGCAGGGTCTGGTTTCGCTGGTTGAGTGTCTGCACTTGCTTGAGCACAAGCTCAAGCATTTATACGTCAGAACCTGCTATACTGGTGATTTCTGAGAACAGACCATTTTAATTGGGACACATGTGAACCTAGCTTTCTTGGTGCACGATTTTGTGAGCAGAAGCCAATTATGGGGAACTAAGCTCACCAACTGTTCACCTGCTTAGAAACCAGGGGGTCTATGTTCGACAAATGTTTCGTTTCTCCTAAAAAGGAACAGAAGTGACGTAAGGGACGATATCGCATCTGATTGGCTAGAAGCTTAAATGACGAAAGTTTCCTCTTTCGTCATTTGAGCCTCTAGCCAATCAGACGCGATATCGTCCCTTGCGTCACTTCCGTTTCTTTTTAGGAGAAACGAAACATTTGTCGAACATAGCCCCCCAGGATATTCCTTCACCACAACAGTTACCATGAACGATGCCCCTGCCTCCTGGGGCGCTTGCTTGGGTTGTCCGGCAACATTCCAGGCGAATCTCACCTGCGCGGAGATAACAGAACGTTAGAGGCAGGCTGCGACAGATATGCCAACAGCGCCTGAAATAATTCGAAATCGCGCCATATGCGCCGTTTCTATCCCGACGTGGACACAAGGCCAATAGAGCGCTGCCTGGCTCGATCGCACGACCGCGGCACTTGACTCGGAAGTCAAAACGCGGCGCTATCTCAAACTGTCTAGCCAGCTGAAGGCTGCGGCCGATGGCGTAAGGCCAATAATAGGAGATTGACACTCCAGGTTGCCGACCGAGGGTCAATGCTACTGTGGTCAATGGTGTCCCATACAACTTTAGACGTCCATCCACACCCCTGGAACGTCGCTGTGCCGCCACGTCCTGAACGTCCGGGTGATGCTGCTTGAGCGAAGTTTGCATGCCGCGCGGTCAAACTTACAAGACACGTCAGAGCACGTACGTTCGATTGTATATAACGAAATAAAGGCCGATCGTAAGAGACAGTGATCGCAATCAAGGGAGTCACTCCCCGAGCGTCGTACAGACACCCCCGAGTGCGAGTGACGGTCACGGAAATAAATCAGGATGTAGGTACTAGGTAGACGTCCTAGGCTACGTAGCAGTAAGCCCATCGAAATAAATAAATATATATATATATATACACATTTATAGACACTCCTGACCGCGCTCAGTCACAAAGGGTGGGTGAACAATGCACCTTCGAACCTTCCAAAAATACACACCGCTACCGCTACCCGGCGTGTATTAAACTTCGACAGCCAGAGCACAACCAGCACTCAATTTTATTTTACGCTGACCGCAAACGCTAACTGTTTTCTTCGGATATCCTCTAAACTCGCGGAAAATAGGAGGAAATATCCGGGCTAAAACTTGCAGCACATGTTAGCTACGCGGCGGTAGCGTGTCTGGGAAGCGCTCGGCAATATCGATACATAATAGGCACGGAAAGGCATTTCAGGAGAGTTCGCCAGCCTTAGGAGAGCTTCCTCTTTGATAATACTTACATTGCTTTGGTAGAAACGCAGAGACCGGGTGAACATGTTTCCACCGATACACTGAATAACTTGACGCGGATGCAACGACGACGTCGACACAGCAGTCGGTAGTGCTGCTGGTTAGTGAAGAAAATAGCCACGCGTTATCTGTTTCGTTCAATTGCCAGGAGGCGCTAGCGGCGCTAGCGGTCTCGATTTCGCGATTTCGCTTTCTGTACTCATAAACACCGCTTTTTATCAACGCTGCGCAACGCTGCTGGCACCAGCTTGGCCGAGATAATATCTCATTAAGCTCGGTGACAATAGGCGGAGGTGAAATCGGCCTATTTCGAGATGTGTGACGATGCAAAGGAGGCTTGTCATGACGTCAATATGACGTAAAGTTGGCGCGTGGTCGAGACTGGTCTACGGGGGGCCTTGCAGAAACCGGCTTGAGCTGCTGGCGCGTGGCCTTCGTCCAAGTGCCGATCGAAACGGCGACACAAAAAAGAGAACATAGTCGAGGAGCTCCCGCTGCTCGCAAAGTTTCAAAAGCGCGTGCACGCACGAGTGTTTTTGTAGGCGCTGCACCTTTTTTTAACCGCGGGGTAGCACGGCGCATGTTTCGAAACCGAAACTAGTTGTTAGCCACTGAATTTGTTCTTTCGCAATTACAGACGTAATCAGTGGTTTAGCAAATTACGCAGTAGAAGACAGTCCAGAAATCGTACGCGTCTTCGTTTGTAAATGTCTGCTCTTTTTTTTTTTTTTTTTTTTTTATTTGGCAGAATGAACAGATTGCGAAGGGGTTTCCTTATTGACTCTGGGATACGACGACGTCCGTCAAGAAATGCCGACACGGCGTGTGGTAATTTTATTATGGTTGCCGAAATTGGCAGGACAAGCCGAACACGTTGGTTCGTCCGTAACTTGTATATGCACTGCAAGAAGGAGAAACGAAGCACAGGAGGCAGAGAAAGACGCGCACAGATCTTTCGCCTGCTTTTTGCTTCTTCCTTCTTGTTGAGTTATTTAGCGATCGGTACCTCCTAGTGCTTAACACGCGGCGGTCGCTCCCCCGCCCTAAGGCACCACAACAAAAGTTTGAACGGCATCCGACAACCGACGAGTAACAGAACAATGATGTTGACCGTCACGACGATGTTTGTAGTGAGGCGGCCCTGAGGCGACACGCCCATAGTTCTCTGCTCGACACGGCATCTTTCCGCGACTCGGTGGAGCCATTGCAGATTGTGCCGACGTCTTCGAAGTTAGTAATTTTATTTTATCAATTTTAACAGTAATTTCAGCGTAACCTTTTTTTTTTTTCTTTTTTTGCCAAGGCGATTTTTGGTTACGCGGCGATAGCACGTACGTTTATAGCACGTCTCTGAAGCGCTCGACGATATTGTCACGAATGACATACAGGGGAACTGAAAGGGTATTTATGCTCTCCAAGGTTTTTATTTGTTCATGACATATGAGAGCCCAACTACCCAGAACACAATTTGCCGCTCGAAATTCCTTTTCTTTCCACCCGAAAACCGCCGATTCTGGAACTCTCCGGTTTAAGTCGCGCTCACTCTCTTCTCCGTGGTCACGTGCCGTTCTTTATTGTTTAGACACGCAAACCAAATATGGTCAAAGCCGTGGATCATCGAAGGCAAACACTCAATATTAAAAATTAAAATTAAATTATGATATCATTGTTGAGGCTTGTAAGAAACTGCTAATACGTTGATTAAAAAAAAATAAGTTGCACAGAGAACCGGGAGCATTCTGTGCATTCTCTGAGTAATTCAACATGGCGTCTTATCGTCATATCGCGGGAGGCGCGGGCGCGGGAGTCATAGGTTGGACGGCTGAACGAAGCGGACAATTTAATTTTATTTTTATTTACTATTTATTTATTACATGTTACCCCCGCAGCGCCAAGAGGCATCATTGCAGATGAGGGGGGGGGGGGGGGAGGGGGGGAGGGGGGGGAGGGGGGGGGGAGGATACATTTGCACAAGAATTACAGTCGTCATGTATGTACACAAAAAAAAATCTTGTGTTGCAAAATTATAATACTTTAACAAATTAATCCACAATGGTATTAAGCTTTAGTCACCAATACAATTTTCCGTACAAGTAAAGGTATGAGGACACAAAGCACAGTGTTACAGACCAAACATTCTGAATACACATTCACAAAGAGAAAATTCACTTACCTTACTCCCAGCTATCACTTGACAGTTTATCAAAAAAATTATCAGACGATGGAATTGAAATAGTTTCCTCTGGCAATGCGTTCCATTGTTTAACGGGGTTGGGGGAAAATTAGAATTTGAATATATTAGTCCTAGCTGAAAATTATATTTTTTTTTAATGATCTAATCTGCGTGGCACAAAGTGTGGCAGTTCAGTGAATTAAGTTTTATCCAGTCATATTTGATTCTGATAGATCCTACGTAAAAAGTTCAAACGGAGGCGGCGTCTTCTAGAGTTCAGAGGTTCCCAGTCTAAGTGACGTTTTAGGGCAGTAACACTTTGTTTGAAATTGTAATTTTTTGTAACGAACCTAGCAGCTCTGCTCTGGATTTGTTAAATTGTCTGTTCTGGATAGCGTTCTTTAGGGTCCCAGAGCACGCAAGCGTATTCTAAAATAAACCTCACATTAAAAAAAAAAAAAAAGTGTGTGTGTGTGTGTGTGTGTTTTTTTTTTTTTTTTTTAATTGGAAGGACAATCGCGAAACTTCCTTCTCAAGAAATTTAGCACACGGTTAGCTTTGACTGTCATGTAATCTACATGCGCGCTCCACGATATGTTTTCCGAAAACTGAATGCCTAAATATTTTACTTTCTCCACCTTTTGTAGTGGGGCGCCATCAATTGAATAGCTAAAAGAAACAGGTTGTCGTTTTCTGGTAAATGTTATATGATTGCATTTGGGAATATTTAAATTCATTTTCCATATTTCGCATCATCTTGTAAGGCGATCAATATCTTCCTGTAGCTCTAGACCGTCTGAATATGTCTTTATTTTGCGGTATAAGACGCAATCGTCCGCATGAAGACGAATGCTTGACGTAATGTCTGTAGAGAGGTCATTTATATATATTAGGAATAAAAGCGGACCTAGCACTGATCCCTGGGGGACCCTTGATGTTACTTCTAATTACGACGACGTTTTCCCGTTAACTAAAACAGCCTGTCGTCTATTTGTAAGATAATCAGTAAGACATTTAATTATATTTTCAGGGATATTCAAAAATTTTAATTTGTATAGGATCAATTTATGGGGGACCTCGTCAAAGGCTTTTCGAAAATCTAAGAAAACGCAGTCTGCACGCCTTTATAAAAAAAAAGAAGAAATGTCGTGATAAAAGTCGATCAGCTGGGTATCACACGATAAACCACTTCGGAAGCCATGTTGATAAGGAATAAAAAAAAGTTGTTTCTGTCGAGATGTTTTATCAAGTGGCTAAAACTTTCGAACACACACAAAGAGAGATTGGTCTATAGTTGTGTACCCTATTTTTTTTTACCACTTTTGTGGGCAGGAACAACGTGAGCTGTTATCCATTCATTTGGTAATTTACCACTTGATAACGAGTTATCAAATAATACAAATAAAAAACTAGACAAAATGCCGTAACATTCTTTTAATATGCGGCCTGGCCAATACCGTCAGGCCCAGTGGCTTTGTGAGAGTAAATATTGTTTAGTAAATTAAGAATTCCAGCTTGACAAATCCAACATGCTGTCCTCTAAAGACTCGAAAATGAGAAAAGGGTTATTCACTATATAGGAGGCGAGAATAGAGATTCAAAATAGCTATTAAAAAGGCTTGCTTTTTCAGCCTCATTATCTATCATCCGTCCCGAGTCGTTGATAGTCGGAATTCCTGGCTCATCTTTGTTCGAACTTTTCACGTATCTCCAAAGTTCCTTCGGATTTCGTTTAAACGTATCATCAAGAGATGCTAGAAACTCATTCTTGTAATGTGTTGCTTTGCTTAAAAAAAAAAAAAAAAAAACGCTGTTAGTTTTTTTAGCAGATTAGGAGGCTCTGTTTTTACATACACCCGCCTTTTTTCTTAATGATCGTTCGTAGTTCTTTATTTATCCAAGGCTTGTCTTTGCGTTTTCTTCCGGTTATAACATTTGAGGGAATGTGAATTTTAATTAAAGCTTTTAATTTATTTTTGAACATATCCCGTAGCACTTCCACATCAGAGTGGTAGCTGAATTCATTGAAATCTTGGAAATAATCAAAAAGTTTGTCAGCTAAAGCGGAATAGTTCCCTTGATCGTAAAAATAAATTTTCCTCTGCGTTTTTTTTTCTTCTTTTTTTTTACGGTTTTTTCTTCTGCGCTTTTTATTTCCCCGACTATCACCTCGTGATCGCTAATACCGGGAACAACGGAAATAGAAGAGATAACAGAACGTTCACTGCTAAAGATTAGGTCTAGCGTGCTGTCCCTCCTGTGGTCTACGTGTTGGTGTAAAGAAAAGCTTAAGGCAAATTCAATAAAGGTGTTGTATGTGGATAAGTTTGTACTGATCGGTAAGCCATCAACCCAGTCAACATCAGCATAGTTAAAGTCGCCTCCCAGTAAAATGTAGTCGTAAGAAATTGTTGAAAGAGCATTTGTTAAAGAAAGAATGGAATCGTCGCCAGACGACTGTGAGGAAGTGGCCATTTCGAAGCGACACCTTACATCAAGCAGACTCAAATTAAAATTGCGAAAAGTCAATGGCGCTGCTTTGCAGACCGTTATGGGTCAGCAGGAATAATCCTCCACCAAGCCCATTTCTGTCTCGTCGATAAGCAGTATATAGTCAGGTGGAAAAACTTCTGCAATTTTGATTGAGTCATCAAGCCAGTACTCTGTACGCATTACAATACTGGGCCTTGTCAGATTAACAGGCTCTGCTAAGTCATCAATTTTATTTTTTACATTACGACAACTCACGAGAAGTACATCGAGTTCATTCACAGTTAAATTAAAGCCCGCGGAATTTGTACTGGTTGCTAGATTGTTTTCTCTTTTACTCTCTGTTCATTGTTGTCATAGTAAAATACTTTGTTTCCAATAATTAGTTTTCTGTAGCGTAGTTGACTATTTTGTGTCCTGGCAAATCCCAGAAGCTTCAAAATTAACTGTTGGGCTAGTTGGCTACACATTGTATAAAAATTCAAAAGCGCACAGACCAAGGAAAAGAAGAGGGGACAGGGCAGAGCGCTTACTCCAACTGGACGTTTAATGCATTCCCCGAGGAAGACATTAAAAAAAAATTAGGCATGTGAAGGTAAAAAATAAGAAAAATTATTGTTATAGTTTATAGATACATTAAAAGTTTAAACTAAATCTGACTTCACCCCT